TAATAATAACTTAAGCTTATAAAGTTAAAACTAAATAAGCCTTAGTAAAAAAAGCTAGCTAAGACTAAAAGGTTACTAATACTAACTATAAAAAGTAAAATAAGGATTTTTTTTATTATAAAAGTAATATAACTTAAGACTTAATAAATAGTTAATAAAAAAGCTAAATATTATAATAATAAAAATAATAAAAAGTATATAGTACTTAAAAAAGTACTATAAGGCTTAGTTAATAAAAAGTATTAAAAAGTATTATAAGTAAATAAGGTATCTTTATTATAAAGTAAGTAGTTCTTTACTAAGTAAAGTAATATAAGACTTATACTTTAGGCTAAAAAACTAAACTATACTAAAAAAGTAGTAGTTAAGGCCTAACTAAAACGTAATAGTATAAAGGTAAGGCTAAAGGTAAATAGTTAGCTAAAGAAATAACTACTTATTTAGTAGCTTATTAAGCTTAGTAAGTATTTCTAGATATCTCTTAAGATACTAAAAGATAAGTATAAGGTATAAGGCTTAGCTATTAAATAGTCTAAGTAGCTAATAAGAAGACTACTAGTAGGTAGCTAGCTTAAGGCCTTAAGAGATTAAGAGTTAAGTATAAGGCTTAGCTATTAAATAGTCTAAGTAGCTAATAGGGGGGCTACTAGTAGATAGCCTGCTTAAGGTCCTAAGGGTAAGACCTTAAAGGGGGGGGATTATATTAGGTGCCTAAAGTAAGGCCCTAGGGGGGCACTAGAGTAGGACTAGGACTAAATAAACTAGTTACTAAAGGAATAATAAAAAGAGAAAACTTTATAAAAGATAGGGGTTAGAGGAGGCATATTAGAATAATTATTATAATTAAACCCTAACTACGCCTATTACTAACTCCTTTACTTAATACTATCCCTGCCTCTGACACCCTGGCCTAAGCTACGGTTGCTGCTAGTAATTAGAACAAAGCGGGAAGTCATTTTGTAGATAACGGCTAAACGGTGGTCTTGAGAGAGTAGTGAATGTAATTCTTATAGACTGTAATGAACAAGACTGTGAGTACCACTCATTTCTTAGTACACATTAGTATCTAGCAACTCTTATATTTACGTTCGGAGTCAAAGCCTGTTGATTATGTTGGTCTGTATTAGCATAGCTACGCAGAGTTAGCAATTACAAACCGTTAATCATGACAAATTGACTAAAGACGTTGATTATTATTTTTCTTTGCAGTGGAATGTGGAATAACGTTATGATCATAGCGCCACAACAGCTTGGTCATACAAACCACTCCCTATGTCTTTTTGGTCGTAAATGTGAGACCCTTTCTTAGTATAGTATCTCGTCAGACATAAGCACTTTGCTGTATTTGGTGTGCATTGACTTGGTCACAAAGAATTGGCGATTATAGATTGTTCATTATGACAAATCCACTTGCAAAAAGTTGCTTATCAACCTTGCACTTTGGATCTGATATAACGTTATGGATAACTTGGCGGCACAGCAGAAGTTCTGCTGAAACACTATATGGCTGTTTAAACATTGGAAATGGGTATCAATTGGATTAAATGGAGGCGTGGCATATCACAAGCCATTCACTGCATCCCAGCTTGGAGCAATACGGATACAGACGGTATAATTTCACGGCAATGCTGATGACAGCCGGAAGCCCCCGTCGCGTGCATCCATCCAACAGAATGCTCACTGCGAGGCCCAGAATTCCACCGACGTCAACTTCCACAGCCACATTGGGAAGAAGAGCCGTCATTCAAGCCTGGCAAAAAAGGCGCGCACGCTGAGCCCGCTGCTCACGATGGTGGACCATGGCACGCAGCGGCAGCGGCGCAACCCCCTTGATAGACAGCACCCGGAAGCTGGAGCCCATCATCAATGCCGCCATGACCAAATTTCTGGCCCGGCCGGACGAGAGGGCGGCAGATTGGCAGGTTTAGGCGCTCTTGCAGATCCATCACGTCTACGAAGCCTGCACGAGCGAGTCGCGACGTCGTCACTATGTACGCCGTCGGCGATTGTTTCAAGTTCCGTTTCGACCCCGCCGGTCTTTCTCTTCGACCTCGACCATGCCATGATTCTCTTGTCCCGGTTCTTGCGCCTTGCGCATCCAGAACACTGGAATTAGTCTGTTGGTCGTGAGAGGGGCGCCAGCCATGGAGGTGAAGAAACATGGTTCTGTACGAGCTTCATGCTTGTGTGTACGAACCGCACACCTGCGCTAATTCATAGCCTGCCTTGGATGCCACCGATATCGTATCCGACCCGTCGTGCACCGTCTGCCTTGTTTCGGTGATGATGGTTGGCGAGCATAATGAATCGCTCCCAGCGTTTCATTATGGATCTCTGTTTCCAGAAACAACGGTTTGAGGCTCTGCGCGAGGAGGTCTCAAATTCTGCTGCACTGCGCTTGCAGTTCGACTCCATGAGGTGTTTGGGGTTTCGCCAAGAGGGTTTTGTAAGGCGGTTGTGTCGTAAAGACAGAAGGATGACTCGTGAGCAGGGGAGGGAGTCTAGAGATCGCGAATAGCATCAAACACTCCCGCGAGTCTTAACTGCAGTTCATCGAGATGATGTCGGACGCCGGCCCCCGCTCGAGAGGTTTCCTCCTGGGTGTAACCCTGGGAGCGGCAAACGGGAGGGAGAGAGGAAAGCAAGGGAGACGCGGGGCCGAGGCACGAACTGTGCGGTCACGTGGGTGTTCTTCGGCATTCCGATGACACCCGCTGGACGGGGAGGACCTTGGATCGAGTTGTAAAACTGAAAGGAAAGTGAAACGAAATAAATGCTGAACTGGGAACTAAGAGATGACGGCTTACTGTCGGGGTTACTATATTCCTCGAGGATGCCGAAAGCCGTAGCGCCAAATGCCGTCTCCGCTTCATTAGAAGGGCGTCGTCAGTGCATGTCGGCGAGTCAACGATGGGTTTGATTTGCCGATGCGACACATGTAAATATAGGTACGACCGAGGACACGGGCCTGGCTCACCGACACGACAGCGGGAACACAATCCTAAACCCGGCCTTAAGCGAAGCGGTGATATTGAATGGTTTACAAACTGATTACAAGTGTGGGGGGACTTGGGATGACGCTCTCTTGGCTCACGAGTTGGGTTAGGTAGGTCAGAAGACGTTTGTTTGGCAATCAAACCTGGACAAGGACGAGCAACTTTTCGATGACTGGATTTTCCCTGAGGAAGAATGTCCCTCCCTGCTCAAGTATCCGGCAGATTTGCAAAGGGAAGGGAGGTGTTTCTTGCCAAGGAAGAGATCGGTTGTGTTGGAACACTCCGTGATACGATTCCGCGAGACCATATACACAGTATTATAAACTCATATCTATGCGCAATCTCCCGGGAGGCCAACCTTGTTCAAGCCCATCTGTAGATCTGCCGAGCCATCATTTCCTTGGTGGGCCAGCCTAGTGCGAAGGTTTGTCCCCTATATCGCGCAATAACGCGGTGGATAAACGTTGCAGCATGTGAGCAAAACATAACCACTGGCGATGAGGACTAGTCGGTCTGCAGACAGGGACGAAACCCGGCCTGAGATGGCCGCGACAGGTCGGGCCTCCAGATCTGTGCTGTAATTGAGGGTGTGCTAATCAGCCCAAAAACATGTTTCGTCGGAAGAGCACGACCTGGGGCATCACATCAACCGAGGGAAGGGGGGAAGAGAGATTCAACTCGTTTTAAGCAGAAATGTATCCGTATGGTCGTGCGCTATGTACGATGGTACCAGGCCGAAGTTAATTACCCCTGTTAGGTAACTAATGTTCACACCTCTACTACAGGACTTCACTTTTGGCGAATATTCACCCTCTATTATGATATCAGCTGTGGGGGGTAACATCATAGGGGTAATTAACTTGGCCCTGCCACCCTGTAATTCTCCGCTGCAAGAACCGGGGGGCGGCCTCCAACGACTTGGTGTTCGCTTCTTACTCAGCATCGTCTCAAATCAATCCCCTGCACCCAAACAAACAAAGCACACAGTTTTATCGGTAGACTCTTGTTACCTGCCAGACTTGCCAGAGGGTTGTCGGGCCCAAGCCACCCTAGGCTTGGCCGGGCCGGGCTAAGCTGGGCTGAGAGGCGACCTCAGCCACGTCTTCTGAGACTGGAGCGTTGGTCATTGCGTCTCACCATTTTAGACAGAGAGCGTCGGTGAGTGTTAGCATTGGTGCCAAAGACGCACAGGCTTTAAATAGCATAAACGGCTCCCCGGCACGGCAGATCGGATGGTCGGCGTTACCCCCTAGGAGACGAGATGCGGGTTGGCAAGGGGAGAGGAGCGTATCTACAGGGCTCCCCCTGCCGTGCGTGCCTAGTATACGAATTAATTAGGTATTATTGTACGGATACGTGAACCAGCATTAACGGTATGATACCACATCATATACGGATACAGGCCAGCCCATGCCGCCACGCCCGTCAACCCCCTCAGTTGTACCATACAGGATGAGTTGGTGGCAGTCGGTCGTGTGTGAATGAAAGGTGCCCAACTCCAGGCCTTTCCCTCGTAATCCCCCCGACCTACAGCCAACTGACCACGCGTCTCCACACCGTCGGAGGGATCCCTGGTGTGTGGTGTTTGTGGTTGGCTCCATCCTCAAACGTACGTCAGCCTCCTTGAAGTCCGTGGTGGCTGTGGTGCAAGTGGGTGGTTGGCTCCGGCTCGACTTCTGCAACTCGAGGGTGTGGATGGCCAAGGGGTCCTCCCAGCAAAGCTAAAACACCAGGGATCCATGTGACGAGTGACAAGAGGCCATCTCGTCGAATTTCTGGTTTTCTTTAATGGGGACGTATGACCCGCCGCAAAATAAGGGGCTGGGTTTGTATCGACTGAATATCCGTACACCATCATCATTATCATCATCATCTTTCCTCTTCTTCTTTCCTCTCACGCAGTCTTTCTCCTTCTTGTTCTACCAATAAACACTACGTTACTATCGTTGAATTCTTCGTTTTCTCGCGCCGGCTAGTCTTACATCGCCGCTCATAATACGCACAATGGCGCTTTCCTTCGTTCGTCAAGCGTCTCTCGTTGCGCTCCTCGCGACTTCGACCATCGCTCAAACATTTACCGAGTGCGATCCTACCAAAAGTAAGTACAGAAAAGATGAACCTCTGCCATCAACCCAAGGGGTTTTCCGCGATGCACGGATGCTTCTGGCCTTACATGTCACAAACCTTCCAGACTTCGACTAGAAGAACTCTATTGACATAAGGCCGCCCCCCCCCTACAGAAGCATGCCCCGCAGACCCTGGCTTGCCCCAGAGCAACTACGAAGTCGACTTCACCAAGGGCGCCGATGATAGTGCCTGGAAAGTCGCGTCCGGAAAGGTCTCGTACTCGGCCGACGGCGCCCAGTTTGTCCTCGCCAAGCAGGGCGACGCCCCGACTATCCAGACGTCGTGGTACTTCTTCTTCGGCCGCGCCGAGGTCATCATGAAGGCCGCTCCCGGCACCGGCATCGTCAGCAGCGTCGTCGTCGAGTCCGACGACCTCGACGAGGTCGACTGGGAGTGGCTCGGCGGCAAGGACGCCCAGGTCCAGACAAACTACTTTGGCAAGGGCAACACCACGACCTTCGACCGCGGCGCGTTCCACAACGTCGACGGCACCCAGGACGACTTCCACAACTACACCATCGACTGGACCCCCGACGCCGTCACCTGGTACATCAACAGCAACCTCGTCCGCACCCTCAACTTCGCCGACGCCGTCGGCGGCAAGAACTTCCCCCAGACCCCGGCCCGCCTGCGTCTCGGCATCTGGGCCGGCGGCGACCCGAACAACAGCCCCGGCACCATCGAATGGGCCGGTGGCCCGACCGACTACTCAAAGGGCCCCTACACCATGACCGTCCAGAAGGTCGCCATCACCAACTCGAACCCGGGCAAGTCCTACACCTACAGCGACCAGACCGGCGACTGGCAGAGCATCAAGGTCGAGGCCGCCGGCGCCAGCACCGGCGATGGCACCAGCTCGGGCCAGAACGACACCTCTGCCGCCCCCGCTTCTCCTTCTGCTCCCGTCTCTCCTCCTTCCCCCGCCTCGACCCCGGCGCCCGCCTCCGGAACCAACGCGCCGGCCAACGCCATCGGGGCGAAGACCAGCGCCAACGCGCCGGCTGCCACCTCTGCCAGCGGATCCAGCGACTCGGCCAGCGCGAGCTCCCCTGCAAGCGTCAGCGCCGCTGCTGGCAGGATGCTCGGCGGCTCCGCCGTCAGCGCCGGCCTGGTTGGAATCGCTCTTGCCGCGTTGGTTGGCCTGCTCTAGATAAAACAAATCACAAATCTTCTGTAACGATTACTGTGTATGAAGCTTCCTTTCTCTCTCTCTTTCCCTTCAACTAGTCTAGACGATATCACGGGGCCGATAAAGGCCTAGCGTTGACCATTTTCATGACACGAGACCCAGACCTTACCGAGCATTTCTCTTATCCAAATTTCAATTGCTGTCGTTCGCCGGTTGGAAACGCTGTCGAAGCCCCCCATCAGCTCGACGATTGTCATTGCCTCAAAGGGCCTTTCCCCCCGTCGCCTCGCGACCGTTTTGCAACTGGGAAAGAGGAAGGCACGAGATGAACCAGCATGGGTGTGTTTTGGAGACCATTGACCCAACGGTTGCAAACGCTCTCAAGTTCAGCCCGCTTTGCATGCCTGGGCGCATGAAGCAAGATCAATGGTTTGCGCCATGCTCCAAATGTCGGGGAGGGGGGGCTAGATGTCTGGTTTATGCAACTTTCATGCTCAGTTTCAACTGGGTAAAAGTGTGGCGTCATGCGGACAGTCCAGCCCAAAATCGCCTGGATAATATCAAACATCGCAGGGACTCTGCTAGCAGTGAGACCTCATCTCCAACGCTGACTGCTTGTTGTCTGCGCGAGGGAGGTTACGAATAGAAATAAACAATTCCCAGTTAACCAAGTTTGCTCCCTTCTGTAGCCAATCGCAAACCACTAATTTCCAATGATACATGTAAAGTACCTAGATAGAAGGAATCGTCTTACATCCGGTTGTTATTTCTATTGCTTTGTACCCCATGAGCGGTCTCTCTTAGACCACCCGATACAGGACAGTTATAATGCGTATAACCTGATCAGTAGCGCCTCGTCCTATATTGCATCTTGACATGTTAGCACAGGACAAAACACTGGTAACACAGGGCAACTGCTTATTTCCTAGTCTTTATTTGCAAGCCCTTTACTAACTTCTTGAGAAGGCATCGAATATCAACCTGTTCAATCTCTGGTTATATGGTCCTTTATATCTTGATCCTGCCTAAGTCTTCTTAACTAACGAAGTGCTACTCCTTGACATGCCATTTCGACAGCGCCCTAGACGCCATAGGAATATCATCCTCAGACCCAATCCTTCGCGAATTCCCTCGCCAAACCACGACCGTCCACACGGCCGATAATGAAGGCTCCCACTTAAGCAGCGGGAATCCGTACCGAACCTAGCAGGGAGTGGCCCCGCGCGCCCTAAAACTACAACTGCTGACTTCGCAAGGACGGTATCATTTACACCATCACTAGACCGTACTGCGCACCCTAAACTGTTTGAGCCAACGAAGGTATTCTGAAGCGCTGGCAACAACCACATGAACCCTCCAGGCGTTAGGAAACTCCCCACGCCAGAAACCCAGACAGAGGACCGCTTCGCCCGAAGCATGATTCCTCATGCGAAGGATGTATCCTAACCCAATACCAAGCTTCTAAACAGATCCTACATCCCCAACCCAGACAAGGCAAAATCTTCAATTCAAACGCAAGAAATCCCATACAAATAGACTCAAACCTTGAAGATTCGCGCCTTAGCCACGCAGATTTCTCAGTCACTAAATCCTAGTACCTTAAATTCTCAGCGGCATAGACGGAGCATCCGGATGTATATAGAACATTCATCAGCCTCGAATAAAAGACATTTCCCCAGGAAAACCAAAGATCTACTAATGAATCCATCTTTAACGTCAGGTTTACGCCGCAGAAGGATTGTAAGCAGAGCAGTGAGCCCAGGGACTCAACGACGTGTATTCATCATATCGCTTCTGAAAACTATCGCTGAGTACAAGGTTGATAAACCAGCCAAGGCTTGGCTTCGCTTCAACTGTGGCCTCGAACATGGCAATGAGACATACTTTCTGCAACCCATGCGGCCCCTATATCAGTCTTGGTAGATAGTCTTAGGAGATTATAACATCTGACACGCTTCTCAGGAGGTCAGAATACAGAATGAAGGTTCTCACTAGTGTCAGGGGTAAACAATTGTCATTCGTAGCGTTATTGTCAAAAGAAACTAGAACGCCATTCCCTGACTGCGTAACAAAGCGCGATGATCTGATTTTGTCTGAAAAGTTGAAGTCGTGTTACGGAAACGTCTTTCGCCTTTGGAGTGACAAGCCAGAGTAAAAGTTGTTGCCAACAGAAGCTCTACAAACACGAAGGAAAACCTCAGACCTCGTCTTTCATCCACATCCAAGCGAAACCTTGTCTGGAGAGGTTTCATATGTCTATTGGCTATTGTATACTTTCTATAATCTGGCCGTGATGGGCCAAAAAATGATGTTAAAAGTTTCTTCGTAGTTACTGGCTCCTACAAGTAGACTTATTACTTTGACTCCAACCAGAGAAACAGAATGATCGAATTTGGCAAAGATATACCCAATTTTGGATACACGGTGCTCATATTGCCCCCAAGTTGTCCCAGCCTGTGCGTCACGCCTACAAAAGCTACATCGGTCTTTGCGGAAGAAGTTTGTCAATAATTAACATATTTCGGATGCCGTATCGCGGTTGAAGTCATTCCCAAAGTAATGCTTACTCTTCGTAACTCTCTCAAATGTCTACACATTGGAGCTTGATGTTCGGTGAAATGCTGCTTCAAACATGTGTTCACGGCGTCTGCCCATTCTCCCGAGCTATAGTAATGCTTCAACTCGGGCCAGCCGCAACGGCGGTAAACCTGCAGTATTTCGAGGATGTAATAATCCTTATTCGGATATAGGATGCTGTGTGCATCGGGTGCGGACCATGCAATTCGGAGTGAAATGCAACTAGCTTAGCTCGTCGAGCAGACTAGATAGACCCGAAACGACTCAGCCAGAGAAGTTGGCCCGCTACTCAATATAGTTTTACAGTCCGGTTGTAAGGGTTATAAGAAGACTTGCTTCCATGCCAGAATGGGCAGTTGGGCTAGTACACAATGAGCAGCCTGGTGTCAAGCAGAAGCTGGGTTAGCTCTCTTCTACTGTAGCAAGGCCGATTACTTTCGGAAGTACGTCATTGCAAATGTAGAGGCTTTTCAAACCCACCGTGAGGTAGTTACCGGTTCTTTACCCCCCTCCAAGCAATTATGCTCCCCGCTAGGTGGAAGGTAGGCAAATTTAACAAGGTCCAATGTGTTTGATAGTCTCACTCAGAACAGATCAACGCTATCAAACGCTCTAAGGCAGTTTTCTTCTGTCGACGTGACTTTATTTTCATTTCCCGAAGGCTACTGCTTCGCCTTCTCCAAGCGCACCCACAGGTCCGGTTTAGTCATGGAATGAAAGACCTTCATAGGCCTCAGCTTCCCGTCCAGCCCCCAAACCTCATTGCTGCTCCTGTGCGTCTCTATGTCCAGCGCCATGTCGAAGTTCCACAGCAAGTGGGCGGAGATGAGCCGCATCTCCATGTACGCCAGGTTCTTCCCGATGCAGACCCGGGGCCCGGTGCCGAAAGGCAAGGAGGCGTTGGGCCGGTCGCCGGAGAACCGGGCGTCTTCTCCCAGCCACCGTTCGGGAAGGAACTCGTCGGGGTCGACGAAGTTGCAGGACGAGTGCGTCGAGACCCAGGGCGGGACGGCCACAGTCATGCCGGCGGGGACGTAGTAGCCGTCGATGGTGGCGCCTCCCGCGGGCACCATGCGCTGCTGGCTCGCAGGCGAGGGGGGGAACAGGCGCAGCGCCTCGTGGATGGTGGCCTCGAGGTAGCGCAGGTGGCGGACCTTGTCCCAGCGGATGTCATCGCGGGAGCGCAGGGCGCCGCGGACCTCGCGGACCAGACGGCGATAGACGTCCGGGTGGGTGCAGACGAAGTAGGTCCAGCCCGTCAGGGCGGTGGCGGTGGTGTCGGTGCCGGCGCTGATGAAGAGGGCCATGTTGAGGATGATCTCGGTCTCGGAGAGCAGGTTCTTGGACTCGCTGTTGAGGATGTGGTACATGAAGTCCGGGTGGTCGCGATCTCGGTCGGCGAGGCGGCGGACCGTCTTCTCGCGCGAGTTGCTCAGGTGGATGCGGCGCCACTCGGCCGCCCGCGCGGGGACGAGGAGCCGCGTCATCAGGGACTCGAGCCAGGTTCCGGTCCCGGACAGCCGGCGGATGCCCTGCGTCCAGGTCGCGGCCACGAAGACGTTGATGACTGAGGTGGACCACTCCGTGTCCGAGGCCTGGTTCAGGCACCCAAATGGCTCGGCGAAGCATGCGTCGCCCATTATGTCGAAAGCGAGGTAGGTGTCTTGTGGCGTGGGAAGTCAGTCAATGGTGGGATGTCACGGAGACAAGATGATGCTCGACAAGGGGGGGGGGGGGTTCGCTTACACCAACTCGCGACGTCTACTGGCTCGTTCCGAGCCATCTTCTCGTCGAGGACAGAGATGAACTGGTCTATCTGTTGGCGGAATAGGTGCTCGAAACGGAGCAACGCGCTGTTGGTGAACAAGTAGCCCAACGCTTTCCGCTGCCGGGTGTGTTCGGCGTTGAGCGCCAGACTCACGCCGGTCTGGCCGTCAGTGCTTCCCACAGCGCCGAGAAAAATTGGGCTCTTTTCCATCAAACGACCACCTTTCTGTCGGGGAGCTGGTCAGCCCATCCAGAGGGATAATTGAGGGGGAGTGAATGTTTCTGCTGGGTGTGCCGGACTCACGCGGAAGCCGTATATCTCCTCCCGCGCCTCCGGGTTGATGAAGCTGAGCTCGCTCGGCGAGACTCTTACGACGGGCCCGTACTTTTCATGCAATGACCTGTAGTAGATGTGTTGGTTGCCTCTGACCAGCTGCAGAGCGGCGGGTAACTCGGTCACGCTGTTGAGCCAGGGGCCGGGCACTGCGCGGAGCGGGTGGAAGAAGCGGCGGTAAAGGACGGCAGCGATGCATCTTGCGGCGATCTAGGCGGACACAGTGAGTGATTCCTCTCACGAAGAGATAGGGGCCCGTTTGAGACAAGACTCACGAGGAAGACAACAGTCGCCACGACCGAAGTCGTGGACAGTAGATGGATAATCATGATGGCTCGGACAGACAGAACGGAGTTTGGCTATCGGTGGCGTGTCTGTCCTAGTAGAGATGATGCTGAGCCACTCCTAACTGATGAGTTGATACAGGCTTGTCAAACACTGCTCAGGCACAGTCTCTCGTCTGGTCACGGATCAGCTGAATGGGTTGGTTGTCCGATGCCTACAAACAAGTGGTCCATTACGTGAGATTGGTATTGCAATACACGAGGGCTTCAAAGTCTCTCGGGAAGAAAACGTCTTAAACTCGGAGGTGTAACCTTCACCCTGGCTACATGCATGTAACGAAGCTGCAACCACACTAGGCGGAAGTCACTGGTACATGAACCCTTGGACCCTGCCGCAGTAGACGCTCCTTGGCGGCGACTAGGCGATCTGCCCCTCCTGATGGTACCGAAACATCAGCTGACACGCGATGCGGTATACATCTCACCTGACGTACCCCCCCCCCCCCCCCCCCGCGATTAATCCTGCGTGGATGGGATAGCGTTCACCAACATTCTCGCACAAAGTGTGGCTCAGGATTAAAATTGGAAACCACCGAACTGGGTGCCTAATACAAAGGCGGGAGTCCACGTACCTTGCGTCGTGGTTAGAGAGGTCAACCGACTGCTAGCTTTTGCGCCACACTGAAGAGAGGCGAGCCAGAAGTGTGTCGACTTTTTGTCGGATAAGCCGTGGCCACTTGGTTCGGCGAATGGTGGAATCGTTCACCCACTGAGATCCCCCAAAAGGAGGCACCCCGTTGAGCACCTGGATTCTTCGTTTTGCCCCCTCAATGGGTACCAAAACTTCAGTGCCCGCGGATGGGGTTTACTTTCCCCCTGAGGTCCCCCCCCCCCCCCCCCCCCTGGCTGACCTGCTTCTTAATAGGGTTAGGGTTAGAGTGGGCCTAGGTCAGGTCAGCCAGGGGGGGGTAAGGTCAGGTCAGCTGCATCCTGCACGCGATGGACGCCCGCATACGGAACTGTACCTACTTGGGATTGAGTGCAACCGAGTAAGTTTGAGCATGTTTCCCCGTGGTGGCGCGGATATTAGTGAGGCTGATAAACTTCTCTTTCTCTCTCTCGCTCTCGCTCTCTTAATATTTTATTTTATTTTTATTTTTTATCTTGTTTTTCGTTCATGCCAGTTGCAAAAGGCCCCACACTAGGTTTCCCTCCGTCTCATCTTATTTTGCGCTCACCATAACACTACTACTAGTTTACGTATGTGCTGTGGGACCCAATTGACTCGTTGCATCATCCGCTTTTCATGTGAGGTACGGATACGCGCATGAGTTTTCAATATGACGGACAGTCCACTTACTTGTCTTCTTGGGAGTTGGCATGGCTATTTTCGCAACTCACTGACGTTTCTTCTTCTTCGTCGAACCGAACCGATATAAGGCCATTCATCAGTGTCGTTGGCAGCCGAACCCGGAGTCTCACATCGCACTAGCATCATATCACATCACATCCAAGCCATGGCAGACACGGCAGACACGAGTGAGTTGGCCAAAGGCTACACCCTCGTCAACGACACGCAGTACGCAACGGGGCTGTTCCTCCTCGACAAGCTGGCTGTTGTCCCCGGCGAGCGCGTCCTTGACGTCGGCTGCGGACCGGGCAACATCACTGCCCACATCGCCGACCTCGTCACCCCTGGCGGCGGCCTCGTCGTCGGCGTCGACCCCAGCCCGGAGCGCATCGCCCTCGCCCGCAAGCTGGAGCGCCCGAACCTCGAGTTCCACGTCGGCCGCGCCGAGGACCTGTCGCGCTTCGCCGCCGCCAGTTTCGACGTCATCTACGTCAACTCAACCTTCCACTGGGTCCAGGACCAGCCCGCCGCCGCCGCCGAGTTCGCCCGCGTGCTGCGCCCCGGCGGCCGCCTGGGCATCTCGGGCGGCTCTGGCGACTTCGTCGCCGCCCACGAGGTCATCAAGGCCGACGTGCTAGCCCGCCCGCCCTACAGAGATTACCCGGACCACGGCAGCGGGCCGCGGTTTCTCAAGCGCGCCGAGCTCGAGAGCATCCTCGGCACTGCGGGCTTCGGTGAGAAGACCATCGTCGTGAACAAGATTGTCAAGACCGCCAAGGACGGCTACGCCATGATCGACTGGCTGGACACGAGCTCGTCGGGGAAGACCTACGGCGGCATCCCGCTCGAGATGCGCCCGCGGGCGCGGGAGGAGATGAAGCTGGAATGGGACAAGATCACCACTGACGAGGGCATCCGCATGGACATGGAACTGCTGGTGACTGTAGCTATTAGAGACTAAATCTTTCGTGAGGTGGCTTTTTTCTTTCTTTCTTTCCTTTTGTGACCATTGCCGCGCTATCAATGCGACTAATGGTCGCTGCGTGATAATTAAAAAGACCCTCGGCAAGCCACGTTGTTGCTCGAGGGGTCATTCCAACCCAAAGACCATTTCCCTTCTGATCCACGTCGTGTCGATCTCCGACAATCGTGGTGGAAGGGCTAGATCAGCAGGAAGCAGTCCAGCAAAAGCTAAGTTCTAACTTAAAAGTAGGCTTCGTGTCACCCTGTTGCCAGTGCATGCTAAGCATTGGCCCTTAACGGCATTAAGTCGTCAAACGGTGTGCATATGTTCGTACTCCGTATACCTACAATTATGGGACGAATCCCAGCGGAGTGTCCCGATCCGAGTGATTGGACCAGACGCCGATCAGTCCCCATGCATTCACCCGACCATCCTCTTCATGAAACGAGAGTCGTGGCTCCGGAGGGGAGGTGGGGGGAGGTGGGGGGAGGAGAGCGTCCGACAGGGTGGTGCATGTACAGTCAAGTGAGTAGTCATGCATGGGGTCCTTGGCTGATGGGTAGCGTGTCACGACCGTTTTCCACATGGTTATCCAGAGACTGGCTTGACTGTCCTGCGTTGCCATGCTTGTCCTGTTTTCGGCCCTAGCATCAGCAACACTAGCGGCACCTGCAACGACCAGATAATGGAACCATCACCCTCATCGGTGTTTTTTAGGGTACTTGTCTCGCCATGTTGCCTCTCAGAAAACAGGCGCCGGCTCTCTTCTTATGGCTCCGCTGTGGTCGAATCACCTCGAACCCAATGCAGATGGCGTCCGGTACGTCTTCCGAGGAGAAGCACGGGAATGAGCAGCTGCAACACCACGCCGGCTCAACAGACCTTCTCTCGTCTTCAGAGCCCGATAGCTCTCGCGAGGCGGAGAAACAGCCGCAGCACGACGTCCAGCTTACGGTGCACTGGGATGAGCCGGAAGGCCAAGACCCGGAGAACCCCATGAACTGGCGGCCGTTGGTGAAATGGGCCAACATCCTCACCATCTCCGTCATCAGCTTCCTGGTGTAAGTCCCGATAACCATACAAAAAAAATACAAAAAAAAAACCCCCAAATCTCTCCCTGTCGTCCGAAAGTGTTAACGCCGCCGAAACAAGACCCCTCGTGTCGTCAATGCTCGCGCCGGCGGTGCCGCAGGTCATGGCCGAGTTCCAGACCACCTCGGCGACGTTCGCGACCTTTGTCGTGTCCATCTTCGTGCTGGGCTTCGCCTGCGGGCCGCTGCTGCTGGCGCCGCTGAGCGAGCTCTACGGCCGTGTGCCCGTCTACAACGCGACCAACGTGCTGTTCCTGGCCGCTACCATCATGTGCGCCGTCTCGCACGGCGAAAGCATGCTGCTCTTCTCCCGCTTCCTGTCCGGCTTCGCCGGCGTAGCCACCATCACTATCGGCTCCGGTACCATCGCCGACCTGATGCCGCGCGACGAGAGAGGCAGGGCCGTGTCTATCTGGTCCGTCGGCACCATCCTCGGCCCCATGGTCGGTCCCGTCATCGGCGGCTCCGTGACGGAGAGACTGGGCTGGAGGTGGATGTTCTTCGTGATCTCCATCGTCGTAAGTCGACCCGCCCCCCCCTCTTATGGAGATGCCGTTGCTCAGATGTATTTGGTGGGGGATAGATCGGGGTCGTTTGCATCATCGCGTTCCTCGTCCTGAGAGAAACGTATCCGCCCGTGCTACTGGAGAGAAAAGCAGCGAGGATCCGCAAAGAAACAGGAAACCCTAATTACCGGTCCAGTCTCACGCCCGACTACACACCCGGGGAGCTCTTTAGACGCAGCATAGCGCGCCCGATGCGGCTGCTCCTCTGCTGCCCCTTCGTCACAGTCCTGTGCGCCTATGTCGCCGTCCTCTACGGCACCCTCTACCTCCTCTTCGCCACCTACTCGTTCGTCTTCACCGAGGTGTACGGCTTCTCCACCGTCGCCGTCGGCCTCGTCTTCCTTCCCGGGGGCCTCGCCACGCTATGCGGCGCCTTCTACGTTGGCGCCTTCAGCGACAGGACGCTCAAACGGCGCGCGGCCGCCCGCGGTGTCAACGCGCCTGAGGACCGACTCGCGCCCATCATTACGTTACCCGGGGCCCTGGCCTTCCCTGCGGGCTTATTCGCCTACGGCTGGCTTGTCGAAGGACACATCCACTGGGCCGCTCCACTTGCTGGCACGGCCGTGACCGGGTTTGGGTCCATTCTCGTCTTCACGGGCATTCAAACATACCTCATCGACGCGTTCGAGGGGTACGCTGCCAGCGCCGTGGGCGCCAACGCGGTACTCAGGGGCATTGCGGGCGCTGTCATCCCGCTCAGCGGCCTTGGTCTGTACGAACGCCTCGGATGGGGATGGGGGAACAGCCTGCTGGCGTTCTTGGCGATGGCGCTCGCCCCTTTGCCGTTGGTGTACGGCGTGTATGGCGCCAGGATCCGGAACATGCCATGCAACAAGGTGACTTTCTGAGTCGTCTTTTGTGCAACAGAATCTCCTGCACATCAGTTGCAAGGGTTATGAAACGGATGTACATAAATGAAGCACATGCCAGAGCATCAGACGTGGGCCAGCCATATTAGCATAGACTCGCGTTGTTCCCTCGCGTTTTTATTGTTATATTTTATTTGCTTGTAGTTACTGGCAACACCCTATAGCACCCATCTATACTGTGAAGAATTCACTTATGGGGGTCTAGAGCGAGTGTATTCATGGAAATTGTAAATTCCACAGTTAATAAAGCTAGAATCAGTATATAGTAGTATTTCCATCATGTTTTGCCTCTTGAACGGAGTACACGTCGTGTTGCCTGCCGTGCGGCACGAACAAGCGGAGTTCTCTCCCTCACTTGCCCCTCACCTAGATACATCCCTTCTTATCATCAACTTCTGATATGTATATGCTCATAGTTCTGAGGGCTGAAAGCCCCATCCATTTCCACCACTAACTCCTCCCCTCATAGCCGAGCTTCTGTTTGTGGTGGTGTCATGTAAGGGTTGAACGCGCTTGTCAACTCGCCCGGCCCAAGACCCTCAAGACGTAGCTTGTCGAGGCCCCTCCCCGTTTCCCTGAGATTGAGCCCCGTGGCCATCTCGGCGAGGATGATGACGGCGGCGATGGGCGAGGCGTCAACGCCGACCATCTCGGCCAGGCCTTGCCAGGACACCAGCAGATCAGGGACGTCCTCCGATATGTTTCGGTTCTCGAAGCCGGTCGGGGCTCGCAGCTTGTTGTGCGGCGGCGAGTTGCGCGCCAGGTCGACCAGGTCGGTGAAGGCCTGGTCGTAGCACTCGTTGGATAGGTCGATGGCGCTCACGGCGCGCAGGCCGAACATGGTGCAGACCTCCATGCGCACGCGGTCGACGGCCAGCATGGCGTTGGCGACGGACCTCGTCAGGCCGTCGCGGTACAGCATGAAGTCGCCTGCCGTGTCCTCGATGCGGCCGGCGTTCATCAGCATCATCAGTGGGTGGAAGACGCCGTTGACGTTGGCCAGGCAGACCTCGATGACGTTGTCGCACCACCGGAGCTTCGAGGGGAAGATGCTCTGGATCTCCTCGCGGAAGCCCGGCCGAACGGCGGTAGTGTGCTGAGCGGCGATGTGGATGACGCTCTTGCGGCCGAAGACGACGAGGTTGTCGCCCTCCATGCGGCACGAGTACGGCGAGAGGTTGGTCTCCAGGATGTTCTCCGCCTCGATGTCGATCTCCTTGAGTAACGAGAACAGGTTGCCCGGGATGGCGATGATGGTGTGGAACCGCAGGTCGTAGTGTCTCAGCTCGTTCAGGAGCGTCAGCTGGCCGGTGGACGGCACGGTCAAGATGAGAATCTTGGAGAAGGCCACGGCCTCAGCTATGTCGGTCGTGAGCTTCAGGTTCGTGAAGCCCTCCATCTTGCAGCTCAGCTGGAGACGGCCCGTCTCCATGACGGCCTTGGCGTGCCGGAGGTGAGTCCGGTGAGAATACAACAGCGTGTTGGTCCCGTGGTTCTGGAGGTCCGCCGCCAGGGCGAATCCCGCCGGCCCGGCGCCCAAGATTGACACGCTCGACACCATTCTCATCTTTTCCTGCGGTTGGGGTGGTGCTGAGACTGGTCACGATGAGAATGACAAGGTGATATAGGAAAGGGGGAAACGAGACGAAGAAATAGGGCTGTGTGGGTGTCTCTTGGCTCTTTCTATCAAACGGTTGGTCTGAGCACGTCTACGTGATCTATGGTACGCCCATTGCGTAATACGAAAGTGTTGCGTGGGCGCTACAACGACTTATGAATAAGAGACGACGTGCGATGGGCCAGACGTGCGAGACCAAGTACGTCTGAGAGAAATGTTACTTTGACTCACGATGCAATTGATGGAGAGCACTGCAGCCTCATCAGCCATGAAAGCCACGGCCAATTGGAAAACAACCTCGGATAGCTCCTCACGATGGACCACTAGCCGGATTACTCCTAGATGAGAATAGACTATTCGGATCATGTGCGATTCAGGTCTAGCGGGACGCTAGGATAGAACGCATTGCTACGTCCTCCGACAGGTTGGGCTTCGTACTCGGTACTTTGCTACCCAAATACGCGGGAATTACATGGACCGGGGCTTCTTATTGCCTGCCGTAGTGTTTGATGATCTTGAAGAAGCGGACCTTGCGCTTGAACGAGCAAGTTTGCTCGGTTTTAGCCTACAGTTGCCGCGTGGCACGTAAACTGAATCCCGACAAAGACTTGCAGGCCCACAGTTCATGCATGGCCTCTTTCACCCCATCTCATGACTTGTTTAGCTGCCTGTCCTGTTCATTATTGACACTTCAAGGATGTATGAAGGGGGGGCCGAAGGTGTGATCGGCAATCTGGATAACAATCGGAAACTCTATCCGTACATAAATATCAGTCAGATCTTTGACTATGCAGCTAGCCCGTTTAAGGCACTGCCCCCTATACTCAAACTTCGCCCTTGCAAAACTCTGTAGGTAAATCTCCCTCGTTTAGCACTCTCTTGAGTAAAAGTGACTTTCCTCCAGCCTAAAACAAGGCTAAAGCTTGGATTAGGCGTACGAATTGTTTCAGGGTCCACTGAGAGCACCGTATGATGATTCGATACCATTTGCAAAGTTCAGTGCATCTCCCGTAACACTGACAGGAAGGCGGTGAGGGTCTGCTGGGTTATAGAGCAAGCTCTGAAAGTCATTCAAGTAACAGGGCGTTGTTCGACTGTATCAGGGTCACCGATCGTATATCGTAGGTTTGTTTGCGTGGACACCACTCCGGTATGTAATGAATACATTGCCATGTAAGTGAACCATCCAACCACTTTCGACTAGTCTGCGGTTAAATATGGACCGCCTCAGAAACGGACCCATTCATCCGCAAGTTTCAAGCCACAGGTGTAAAATTCCATTAACGGCGCTGGTATTCGTACAGATTCTGGAAAACTAGCTCAAATTCACTCAACCCCCGGTCTGGAAGCAACGCTGCGTCCCTCCTTTTTCCAAACCCCGGCTCTTCGGCACACTCATTGCTTGTATTTCTCCTATCGGCATCGACCCGTTTGGATTTGAGAAATGACAAGCATGGGTGTCACCTGGCTGCTGTTAGTTCTGTGACTGTCTGTGTCTGCCATGAACCTGCTCCCCCCTAATACAGACCACCTCTTATCAACGACTGTGGTATTAAGTAAGAGGGGTCCTATCCTCTAGCCAACTACAAGCAGAGAACGACTCAGAGGAGTTTTCTTTTGTCGAGCTCGTTCAACCAAGATTGGGATCCTCTGCCAGAAACCTCCCTATTTCACCTCTTGTCAGTGGAGTCTGGACCTTCATCCTCACCGAAATCCATCTTGACTCGAATCTTTTCTCTTCTGGTCTCGATCTCGCCGTAGCAATTACTGTTTCCCTTTCGTCAGATCAACGTCACGACGTGTCTCGGCCCAGGACCTCGCCCACCATGGGTCGGTCGGTTGGGCTCATCGCCCTGTCGTTTTTGATCGCCAATGTCTACGCCCAGACTGGCACCGGCATCATTGGCTTCGGCATTTCGCTCTACCCGGACTTATGCTGCCAAGCATGCCACGACTCGCTTTCCGCCTTATACCTGAACTGCACCACATTCAGCACTATGGACATGAGTGGTATGCAAGGAATGAACATGACCGGCATGAACATGACCGGTATGGACATGCAGATGGGTACGACCAGCGCCGAATGTTACGCCTCCAACAAGCCGTGGCTCCAGACCATGGCCTATTGCATCCAGAAGAACTGCAACACCCACGGATACCCTGCAGACAAGCAGGCTGAATGCTTCAGCAACCAGGCCGTCGCCGGTGCCCCGTCACCAACCTTCGAGGAGAGCCTTCCCTCCGTGGCTCCCACCACCGAGCTCGCTGCAGATGCCATGTGGCTCAATGAGACCAGTTTAGTGAACCAGGCCCTCTACGACTCAACCTACGGCACCGATGGAGAGTTTGCCAGGTCTGAGTACTTCCACACCAGATACTCGTATGTTTTCCCCTTTCCCACCTACCAGCCTCTTTGTTCCTTTGTCTTCTTCACTTTACCCGTGATGAATGCTGACTGGATTCTCCTTCTAGTGTCGCCCTCTACTTGACTGTCATCGGCGTGTGCGTCATCTGTGGCGCCTGGGCCCAGCTAACGAGCGCCGTCCCCGCGCTGTACAAGAAACTCCAAAGCTTGGCATTCTGGGCAAAGCTCCGACAACACGTCTTCCTTCCAGCCCTTGTCGGCGGCCGGCATCTAGAGCCTCTTCCCGGTCAGATCGGCTATCTACCGAGCAGGACGCTAAGCATCTTCATCGCCGTTTACATTGTTCTCAATGTCGTCTTCTCCGCCGTGAGCTTCGGCAGCTACCAGCCCAATGTCTTCTTCCTTTCCATGGGGTTCGAGCTCTGCGAGTATGTCGGCAATCGTACCGGTACCCTCAGTCTTGTTAATGCGAGCATCGCCATCCTGTTCGCCGGCCGCAACAACCTCCTGATCGCTCTCACGGGATGGAGCCAGACGACCTTCCTGACCTTGCATCGCTGGTCTGCACGCATCGCCACTCTGCAGGCTATTGTGCACTCTATTGTCTACACGATGGCGTACTGGGAACCTGGATATACAGGCTATTCTGCTTATGTGGCCATGGTGGCGAAGCCTTTCTACGTATGTGATTTTCCAGGTGCTACTCTTTCTTGTCACTCGAGTTTACTGACATCCTCTGCTTCTCACAGTTGTGGGGGATCATTGCTACGATCGCCATAAGCTTAGCGACCGTTTTTGCGGTGCTGCCGTTCCGCATCAGGTTCTACGAAACTTTCCTGGCCATCCACATCGTCCTCGTCGTATTCTTCCTCGCGGGGTGCTGGTACCACTTGGTTCCCCACTTCGGCTTGGTCTATGGCTATCAGACTTGGCTTTACATCTGCTTCGCCTACTGGGCCTTTGAACGTTTTGCCAGACTTGTTCGCCTTGCTTTTTACAGTCTCGGCGGCTCCAAGGCAGAAGTGACGGCCATTCCCGGTTCCAATGTGATGCAGGTGAAGGTTCACCCACGGTCCATAACAGGGTTCGGCCCGGGTCAGCACAGCTTCCTTTACTTCCCCGCATCGGGCAAGGTTTGGGAGAGCCACCCTTTCAGCGTTGCAGGATGGAGGGCTGCAGGCAATGCTGCGCCTAATGTGTCTACTCCTGCTTCACCTACAGACGAGACCAACAAGAAGGACGTTGTTGTGTCCTCGAGCGAGCCACTGAGCCAGGGTGCCGCCTCCGTCACTTTCTTGATCCGCGCTCACAGTGGCGCCACAGCATGGCTTCAACGCCAGCTCATCTCCTCATCTACCATAACGACATCGGTCCTCACAGAGGGACCCTACGCGGGCCACCGTGCCACTCACCAGTCACTCCTTGTTGCCGATACGGTTCTGTGCGTCATCGGCGGCATCGGCATCACCAGCGCGCTCGGCTTCATCCAGCAGTACGCTAGCGCGTCGGCCGGGGAGGCTTCGGGGAAGACGAAGAGATTTATTCTGGCCTGGTCCGCTAGGGAGATGTCACTCATCGAGCACGTGCGCCACAACTTCCTTGACAACGTTCCGGGCCTCGAGTGCTCGCTTTACTGCACCGGCACCAGCTCCAGCGACGTGTCCCAGCAAAAGGAAACCTCCCTGAACGGATCTGACGGAGCGGCAGCGGGCGTAAATCTGAGTAGAATGGATGTCGGCGCTGTGATACGTTCCCACCTCGAGACGGACCACCAGACAACCGTTCTAGTCTGCGGCCCGGGCCAAATGGCAGACGAGGCCACCATTCACGTCGTCAACGGCGTTAGAGATGGCTTCAAGGTGGATATAATTGAAGAGGCCTTCGCCTGGTAATCTATAGAGTGCGGTGTGCATTATCGTTGTTACGATTTCTCCTCGGCTGTAGACAGCGAGTTTGTTCCTAGTCCCTTTTTGCGCTTTCACAAGCCCTAATATACCCATAAATAGGTCTAGATTTTGTTTATGATAAGATAAGATGCCTTTGCCTGAGTTCATACCACTGCTTTGCATCCCAATGATTTGTGAAGAGCCCAAAGTTCCAGACAGCCATCCCAATATGTATCGCGGTACAAGCCGTTTTCTTTCTTGGCCACTGATCAAAACGTCCACCTGACCAATGACTGAGGTTGTATATGATCTGTTCGAGAGCCCAATATGGTGAATGGGATTATGAGCATATGATAAACAATTGTGGAGGATTTGGCGAACCCTCGTGATATCAGTTGTAAATTGTGGGTCAAGACTCCCGAGTACATGCTCTTCGCGTTTTACTCTAGCAATCAATCGAGAGCGTGATGTTCTTCTACAAAGTTAGAAAGTTTGGCCCAGAAGCACTATAGTAATACCAGTACACAGCTAACTCTTCTTTTAGCATCCGTTATTTGATAAAGCCTATGCTGCTGCGACACCCCAACTTGATGCTTTGAAAATATATTGCCATCAGTCTCACAACACGTAGTAGGTTAGGCTAAAGAGTGTCTATTAATGTCATGAAGAAAGAAAAGCAAAATCATGCCCCCTTTAAGAGAAAAAAAACATACAACACGAGGTATTCGCTAATCGTCACCGACTCAACTACTAATCCGGCCCTTACACTCTTTCTTTTTAGGTCAGTAACTACTACTAAGTACTGTTTTTAGCTGCCAAAAACAGAGGCCTCTAATGTTACAACCTAACAAGTTATAGGCTACATTGCCTCATCTAACAAGCAAGTGATAGGTAATAGGCAGTATTTATATAGACAAGATGATCTCCTTATACCAGGATAATTCTGATAGCCTCATGCATACTTACACTCAGACACAAGTCAGGTTGCCGGAGGCGAGTCATTAGGCATAACGAACGTGCTGGGGTAGTCTGACAATAACTTGGATACTACTAAAGCTGTCTTATTTATGAGCTAACAACAGAACACACGGGGACCCGGTCACACCTTAGGGTGTAAAAGGGAAAGTAACCGCACGGCACCTGAAAGCCGAAGAGCCCCTGGACACTTGACAGCAACGACGGTACTCTCTAGTTGAAACTCCTAGGCATGGTTGGTGGCGGATGGTTGACGATAGGTCGACGAGAAAGCTCTGGCGAGGTTTGCATGAAGCCATCGCGTATATTTATCCTAAGCTAGTTAACCTAGGCGCCGTTTGTCCTTCTTAGGAGCTCTCCAAGCGTTAAACTTTACAACAACAACAACAACAACAACAACAATTACTTATAAGCTAGAGCGTTCTCCTCTAAGAACCCTTCTCGGCCTTCTTCTTGGCCTATATATCTGTAAGCATTAAAGTTTTGTAGGCTTTAGAGGACTCTTACCTCATGCTCGTCAATTCCATCTTCAATAGCCTTACCAGCCTCTACAGCGCCTGCTACAGCAAAACCTACAGCAGCACCCCCCACAAGTAGAGCACCAACAGCAGCTTCCGCCTGTCTTTCTTTTAAATTGGCAACTTCTTTCGTGTCTATGTCTCTGGCTTTTTTATCTGACTTGGGATTAGACAATTTCACTCCAGTAGATTCGGCAGTATTACTGCTGCGACACTCAGAAAAGGGGGGATACTTACCGGTTTGAGGGAGGATGCCTGCATCCAGAATATAGAAAATCGACTTGTTAATAGAGCGTCCTATCAGAAGAAAGAGGCTTGCATTAAGAGGGATTTACCCGTTGGTCTAGAAGTGCGACGCCATTATGAGCAGCCGGCCGCGATGACGGAAGAGCAGTAACAAGAGTGGCATCACAGATGCAGCAAATGTATAGAGCTAGGGTGGATAAACGCATCTTACCTAGTAGAATTAACAAGAGTAATGAAAGCGTGAGGTGTAAAATAATAGAATAGAATGATGAAGAGGAAATGCGGTTGATTATGCAGAGAGAGTGGACTAGAGATATTACTATTTAAGCCAGTTAAAATAATGATAATTGTCATGATGGTTCTAATGAACCCTGGACTTTGAAGTTGTCTCTTTATTTTGCTTCGATGAAACTGTATGCTGATCACGCAAACTTTTGTATCAGGGGTTGCAGCAAAATGCGCACAAGTGCGAGTGATCCAAAACCCGAGCCACCTGGCACTGGGTACTGAAGGGCAGGCAGCAACAGATGTTGTGTAAGATTAACTTTACGGCGTACAGGGTGATAATCATCGCCTCATCTGATGAGTAGGGTGTACGGAGTAGTTGGGAACCAATCGGTTAAAGTTGCAAAGGGCACCATCTCCAGTGCCCACTTTGACTCCCTGAAATTAATGCTACTTCGATATCCTTTAGCAGCACTACCTAGGTGACTAACACAGCCTTCACTTCGCCCCTTCTCTTATCTAGGTAGCTAAAGCTCACGTACTAACCCATCTACAGTAACCAGAGAGTATTAGTGAACTAGATGCAGATGTTCTTCATGCGGTCATACTGTTGGCAAGCCGCCCTGGGTGATGCGCTCTCGCAGTTCAGGCGTCGTCTCAGTATCCGTGTGCCACACGAAATTGCTAAGGCTACTGCGAGATACGGATACTTGCACCACTTGTCCAGCTCTGCTACAGGCCGCCATGTAGCTGAATTCTCACCGCACCAATATGTTAGTTGGTGGGCTCACCGCCAAGATGGAAAATTGGGTAGAGATAATGATATCCATGTTGAGGTGCACGTGGCCGTCCTGGAACCCTGGTAAAGCTAGTGCGCAGCATCACTAGACGACGCACCATCCCCTTAAAACCAGCGATTACAGTAGGTAGTAAGTACCTGTAGTATGCCGGAATTACGGCATGGGTTACTCCGTACAGGACCGCCGATCAAACTTCAAAATAATACTGACCCACTCTGTCATCTCATAGACTCCTGTATCTTGGAAACATGACGAGGTCCCCCAGGGCGGATCCCAGCTCGGGGAAGTTGTCGAACCCGGGGAGGGTGAGGAAGTTCAGGTCCTTCCTCAGGGCTAGGTACATGGAGTCGGCTACCCGTGCTAGGTATTCAGGCTTCGGCCGGCTAACCTAACTTAAAATCGACATGGTTGTACAGATACTCAGGTTTAGGAATAAGTATACTTGAGTAAGTATTTCAAGGTCAAATAACTACTAATATTATAGACTTATATTATACTTATACTATATTATACTTACATTATATATTTCTATTATATATTTCTTTTATATATTTATACTATATAATTATATTATAGCTATACTTTATACATATATATATATATATATTAGTATATTAAATTAAAGATTCTAGTATTATATACCAACGATATAATATATATATAATATACTAATCTTTAATTTAATAACTAAATATATATTTTTTAATATTTATCTATAACTTATTTTATTTATATTTTTTTAATTACTTTTACTTACTTACTTACGTATACTTGTAATTAGACTTAATACTTCAAGTATTTTTCCTAACCCTGCGGATACTTGATATTTAGTGAACTGCATCGACCCACTTGTCGATACGTTCATGCGTTGGGGGGGAGGGGTCGAAGGTATCTTCGCGTTCCATCCACGCCTGGACACCAGTATTGATGGCTTTTCCCATGACTGCGTCAACGTACCGGGGCGGCGTGGCCACTCAGAATCCGAGTTAGCAAAGAGTCATTCAATCAAGCATCGAAGTGCAAGGGGAAAGGGGAGGGGGACAGATGGCTCACGAGTTGGCTAGCCTTCCCCACGACGACGACACTATGGCCATGGTCGTACAACCAAACGGCGGCATGAGCACCGGCCGCGCCACTTCTGGAGACGACAATATCTCGTGATATGGTCTTGTTACAGCAGCCCTCGCCAGCCACGACCCCTCAGGCAAAGAACGTGGTAGAGAAGCTCCACCTTGCACATATCTTGCTGATGCGCATGTCTATCAAGAGACGTCACGCTTGGTGTTATATGAAGACAAAACTTGACGTCTATAACTCGCTACAATGCAACTAGGATAGGGAGAGGACGGCTGGTACCAAAATGAAATGTACATGTTACGACGAGTCTGCAGAACCACCAGAGGCAGGGAGGCGGCGCAGGAAATTCTCCACCATCCATACCGGCTTGGCCAGCGACCGGTTCGATTCATCGGATTTGCCCGCAGGCTGCAGCAGTGCGCAAGGGTCCCCGGCAACTGTTGGACATTGCGGTACGAGCCCGGATGATGCCGTCCCATTCCCCCGGCTTCTTTAGAATCGACTAATCCCGGGGCAGGTATGTCGGAGGAACATAGATCTTGGCAGCAGTGTCTGCACCGCGTGAATCTGTAAGCCAGGATCAGGGTTGGCATCAGACCATCTAAGAGAGAGTTCTCTTAACTGTCCTTGTCTGCTGTTAGGTGTCTGAATCACAATATGCAATGTCAAGACTGCAGTCTTACTCAATGATTTACGCTCATCGGTTATAGCTTAGTCACACGGGAGACAAAAAAGAAAGAAAAGAAAGAAAGAAAGAAAGAGAAAGCCTCGGTTGCCATACAATCATCAAGACGCTAATAATACCTTCAGAGATGCCTCGTTAGATACTAACAAATGGGTTAGGTGTTTGAATGTCTTATATCTGACTCTCCTGGCTTCAAGAAGCCCATAAGAAACTCGTGGATGGGTCTTTCTTAGTGAATCAAAGTTACATAGCCAGCCCATTGATGCGGAGGTTCTGGTCGTATTAAGACAAAGCGGCGGGTTTTCTTTTACTTCTTCTTTTTTTGCCATCCAACTGTTAATGTAGTCATCCTTCGGAGCAAGTATCTCGAACAGGACCGATTTATCCGGTCAAGGTTTTTAGCCATAGTGAGATTCATGCTGCGTTTTCAAGGATTCGTGCGTCTTGCGCTTTGCGGTCCCATTTCCAGCCCTGTTCTTCGAATCGCCACTGCAGGAAATCCACTGGTCGTTGCTTCTTCCAAGGGCCGGTCAACCTGAGGAACCATGCGTCGCGCCAGCTGCGTGACGGGGAGTTGGTACATGTATGCATAGCTGGGTAGAACAATGACATGGAATACACGTACGAGTCAACCGACGTGCTCGTACTATGAGGGCTAAGGGGGTTCGACTGGAGCGCCCGCTGATTTAACCCATAACCATTGTTCGTCTGAAGGCAGGCGTATGAAATAACAGGAGATAAACAGGGTCTTTTACTTGGTAGCGACTGTTTATTTGCCGAAAAGGCCGAGCACCGAAGATGATCTGACGTTTCTCCGGTAAACGATCTCGGATTCGAGGTCTCAGAACAGACGTGCCTCCATTACTCAAGCACGGCATCAACGTGAGATACAGAGCCTGATAGTTAGCCCTTAATAAAGCCCCTGGGCACGCCAGAACACAGTGCTGATCAGCGGAGACGAGATGGTTCTCGTTCGTCGCCTTTCTCGTTGATTCACTGGAATGGAAGCTTTTAATTCCATGGTTGTAGAAAGGATGGACAAGTTGCCTCCGGAACATGTCAATCATAGCAATGCAGGCCGGATCGTTGGCGTCGTTGGCGTGTTCCACTTCATCGCCCTGGCGTTCGTTTGCCTGCGTATCTACGCCCGGGCGATTGTCATCGGGGTCTTCAAGGCCGAGGATGTACTCATCTCCATTGCCGTTGTACGTCAAAAGTCTTTCATCAATGGATTCGCCCCGATCACCCATATGGTTGCTAACCTCTGCGCATCGCAGGTCATCGCTCTGGCAGCATGGATATGCCTAATTCTACAAATACCATATGGCCTTGGACGGCATTTCCAGACGATCGCACCCGAAGACCGGGTAGAATTCGAGCGCATCACATTTTGGAAGACAGTCATCTCCGACGGCGTTGCCATGGGGCTGCTGAGAATCTCTTTGGCAATCAGTCTATTGCGGCTCGGTAAGGACCTGAAATGGTACCGATGGTCACTGTATGGAATCATAGGTATTACCCATCCGCACTCCTTGCTTGTCTACTTTCTGATTGCCTCAAGGCTGACCGGACTCTCTTCAAAACTAAGTGTTCGTTACTGTGTACTCTATCCAAGAAATTGTTTGGCTGTTCATCTATTGCACTCCTTTCTCGGGGTGGTGGGAGTTCCAGTGGATGAGCCCATTTGATCCTAGGTGCCGTGACTTGCACATCTTCCTCGATCTCGGATATTGGAATATTTGTGAGTTCAACGCTACATCGATGACATATCAAATGTTAACGAATAAGGGAGCAGCCTGCAATATTTTCACTGATGTATGTCTGGGAGCTTTGCCAGTACACATCATCCGGAACCTAGATATCAAGCTCCGACTTCGCGTCTACATAATTTTCATCCTGAACCTGGGATATCTGTGTGTTTCCTCCCAGATCTGGCGGCGCATCTGCACAGTTGGAAGTTTATCTCGGACCAACTAACACCTGATTCCACACCCAGGTCAATCATCATGGGTATTCTCAAGGCGGTTTACATATACAAAACGGCCGGCAACCCAGACAATATTTTCGATCATTGGGTTCACGTCTGGCAAAAGTAGGTCGTGGAACGGGGTCATACCATACTATGTCCGCTTTTGCTGCCGAAGTCAAACTAACTTGTCCGATGCGAACAGTCTCCAGCTCAACATGGGCATCATTGCAGCATGTGCGTCGTTTCTAAAGCCGATATTTGGACGTAAATTAAAGATCGACAGCTCGGCCGCTTCCTATCACGATTACGCCAACTAGCGCCGGGGCGACCGGACGCCCCATGAAGCTGGGAATCTTGGCAGCATATACTCAGCAAGGAGGAAATCGCACATCACCGTCAACCGGAGTAGAGATCAATCATTCGCAATGTATACCAAGAGCGGCCATGGTGTGGCAGAGTGGCAGGTCGTTTGGCCTATTGGCGGGCAAGGGGCTCAGGTGTCCCAGCAGGCGCGGCCTGACTTCCGCCACCAACGGTGAAGAAGTCATTGTTCAACCGGGGTTTATGACAAGGAATTGGGTTGGCGAGGGGTTTCGGTTTAAATTACAGCAGCAAGTGGTTTGACTTGGCCTCAAGTCGAGATAGACTTGTGGCATCAAGTTAATTGCAAGACATGAAGCTGGGGCCAAGTAAACTAGAAGTATAATGTTTCAAGGATAATTGTGGCCCGTCGCTAGGTACTTCCACCACCCGATGACATCAATATCCCACTTGTTAGTTACCTTATTGTCCGACTCGGCGCCTAGGGAACGAAGCAACTTGTGCAGGATCCACCAAGAACTGGTCCACAAGTATATACGCCTACTTCTCTTATTGTTATTCATCTTCACCACTATCTTATAGTACTCTGCTAATGTGAATACCTCAAGGACACATATATATGTCAGAGTGACAAACAACAGCAAACATAATCTGGAAGCTGTTGAAAGTCGCTAATGCTGCCGCCGCAGTACAGGTGTCACTCGGTTACAAGTGGAGGCGATATTATTGTACAAGGTATTGCATAGTCTCGAATTTGCTGCTTTCAGAGACTATACAAAACCGCGCTTAATTAAGTGTCAAGGACCGAAAGCGCGAGTATCTCGGATATCTCGCGATCACAAGCTGCGTGTCGGGGACTCCGAAAGTATATTTCTCAACTCAAGTCAAGTCACGGGGTTGCTGCTGAGCTGCAAAAGATATGTTCATAACGCTGCCGCTCGCGTCAGGGGCCGGCACTAGTAGAAATCCTATTTGGAAGAAGAAGGGAAAAAAACCGACAACATGCTAGGTCATGGGAGTTGAGAGGCGTTGAGATGCGCGCGCTACATGTGCGATAGTAACGCACGTGCATGCTGCACAACGCTGCAAGCGGTGACGTGCAGTTCGACATCCAGCGGGCTGGCTGATAACCACCCACCCATACTGCGGCTTTTCTGCCTCCTCGTTGTAAATTAGATTGGTATGCCAGGTCAGCAGGTACTATGATGGCTATTGCTCTTCGTCACTCCTCCAAGTGGAGTGGACTTGCCCGAGTTCGCATGCCCTCCCATCTTGAGGCCACTCATGTCTCCTCCCTCGTTGAAACACGTCCTCAGGCCTCACCAATCGACAGTCGAACTTGTGGCTATAAGGTTGGCCGAAGACAAGGCAGGCCCCTGATCCTCAGCAAGCCATGGCCGAGAAGGATCTCGATAACACACTGCTGTCCGCCCAGGGTCCACATCTGCCCCCCTTCCCCGCATCACAGCCCGTACAGATTCAGGTGTCAACGTGCCATTAGTCGCGGAGCCCAGTCCTTCCCAAAAGGGCAGCCAGCAGGCAGGCGAAGGTGCATCAGGAGACCCACCCCGGTCAACCATCGCCTCGGTAGGAAAGTGGGGGTAGAACGAACGGGCTGCACCTGCTAGATTTGAACGATGCTTGCAGTTCCTCCTAGGTAGATAGTTATCTAGAAGCCTCGATAGCTGTCTAGGGTAGGTACCTGCCTGCTTGTGACAAAGGTGGCTTTGACTTTACGTCATTCGCCACTCTTCTTTTCTCCAGTCCGCGATCGTCCGTTGTTTTCCCGAATCGTCCGGGTACAGGCCGAGATGAAAGCAGACACGTCGTGGCGAGGTGTGAGCGGGGTAGGCAACGCCTTCCTCCTTTCCTTATCTTCTTGGTTTCCGGGCGTCAGAGCTAGCAACTGTGGCTTTTTGCGGGTAAATGGCTGACAAGTAGTTTCCCTGAGGGACGGACGGACATGTGGTCTGTTTCGTTGGGCTGGAAGGAGCCATCGAGGACGAACAGGACCACCCGACTTTTGCCGTTCTTTCCTTTCTATCTGAGGAGCTCCAGCTCCCCCCTCGTCCTGCGGGCACATTATTAGATAATCAGAGCCATTACTTAAACCAACGCGCGATGCTCGGCCGTCTCCTTTTATTCTTTTCACCTACAACACCACATCAAGCAAGCCAAACCCCAGCAAAAGGCACTCTTCCAAACCTCACAAGTAAACCAAAACCCCCATACACCAATCTACATACCAATACATCAAGATGAGCGGCTGTGGATGCGCTAGCTCCGGCTCCTGCGGTTGCGGTGCCAGCTGTACCTGCGATGGCTGCCCCGTAAGTTGACCCCTAGCCCATGGCGCCATCCGTTGTGGTGATTGTGTACTGACATGCCCTCAAGCACAAATAAGCAACGTCAAGCCAAGGTCGTGACGTCGTCATGGTTCGTCGATGGGTACCTTGGGGATGGAAAGGGGCTGCCTTGAAGAAACATGGATGGTTGTGCGACGCCGTAGTGGATGGCCAGTCTTCTGCTCTTGGGCACTCTTGTGCATAGTGTTAGGTGGAGATTCGTAATGGAGACTTGATATTGATAAATCTTTCACCGTGTCGTTCTGTGTCGTGGCTCATGATCGGTTGTAAATGACGTGACAATGTAGATCTGTGCAACGTCGGACTGAATACAAGATCGCTGTCCATCTATACGTCGTCATTGTATGTCGCAATGCAGCCGTTGACTGTCTTAGCAGCCAATATCGCCCCGATGTATCCCCGTTTCGCAACCCGGCACCGCCCGCGGGTTTGGGCCCATTTAGCGTCGCAGCCCCTCGCGAGATAGGTATCATGGCCTCTCGCTGAAGTGTTGAGGATCGGTCAAGTCGGGTCCATTCTACGCCGCGGCGCTGCAGGCACACAGAATGGCGAGGGAAGGGTCGTATGCGAGGTTCGTCCATTAGGCTGCGTATTTCAAGCGATAGCGAAGCGGGAAAGTGACACTATCGCTCCAAGGAACACGGTGTCCATCTTGAATATCATCAGTCTAGAGACGCGGGAAGGTTGGGGTCAGCGCCTGGGCTTGGACAGGACGGGACGGGGCGGGCAGCAGGGAGCACCGCAATCAAGCCGCAGTACGCACCTGCGATTCCGTATCATTGCAATATCTGGTAGTTCTCCGTGGTTTGCGTAGAAGTAGGTCCTCAACCGACGGTTCGAGCAACCATCCTTTCTCCCATTCGTTCTTCCACAGCCGCGGGCGGAGGCATTCCGGGTAGGCCACGATAAACAGCACCTGAGCGGTGACGATGGCGACAGCCTCGAAGGCACAGCAGCCCAGCGAACAAGTCGGCACGACTGGGAGATCAGTCTCGTCTTCGGATCCGGGTCGGTTCAGCTACGGAAGCCACGGCAGACGGGAGAGGATGGCCGTTTGGTCAGCGCAACTGCGAACACAGGCACCAAGGCGTCATGGCGTCATGGCGTCATGGCGTTCGGCGTCGTCATGCCCATGTCAATACATGGCATTCTTTTCTGAAGGCACCCGAGAAGACAAATTAGCATATAATGCCTCCAACGTGCTCATCTGGTGGTGGCGGGGGGGGTGTCGTCGGTTTTACGTCCTGCGAAAGGGGGGGCTTGCGCACGGGGAGGCTCGTGAGGGTGGGCAGAAACTTGCTCAATCTTGCGCATGTTTCTGCCTCTCGGAGCATCAGCCGACGCGCATGGCCATCTGATGAATCATGATTTACAGACCCCAAGGTTACACCGAGAGATCTGTCACTGGCGATAAATCGGAATCCTGCTACTTCTTCCCGCGTTTAACGAAACCTCTTCGCCCCATGCGCTCCCTGTCCGACCCTGCTCAGGTGCGTGGCGGTCCGGCCCGTGTCGTCTTCTCCGCCTGCCAGAGCCCAGAGAGCCGCCAAGTACACCCACGCCGTTGGGAATTGGCGTCGGACCTCGCATGCCAGCTCTGGCCACCTTCTTCTTACATTCCAATAGTTTTTGGGGGCAAATCCTGCGTTATGCCTCGGCTGTCAGCTGATGCGAACCACTTGTGTTTGTGGTGAAGCCGAGACGGCTCAGAAATTGGGAATATCTCATGTTTCAAGAGGAGCTTTGGTCTGGAAAGCGACCAGGTTTGGCCCCAACTGGCGAACTATCGTCGTACACCATATCCCACAGTACTGATGCTCGGGTGACTGCTGAGATAGTCGGTATCTCCTTGGTGCAGAAAGCATCCCCGCACACAACATCATATCATATCCTGTGCCTGCTCCTGGTGATACAGATCTCCTTGGTTCCTCCAGCAAGCCAAAGTCGCCTCTAGCTCGATTCTACCCACATGGAATACTCGTTTCTCTCAGGCCCTTCCACTCGGTATGTATCTCTAGTGACAAAGAGTTGGTTAGCTGGTGTCTCCCTGTCGTCAAATGGCACTTACCAACAAGTAAGCAAAGCATTCTCCGACAAAATCTTGCATGTTTAGTCTCCAAGGACGCCGTATTCTCCTAGCTGAAGGGCATGTACCAGCACGGTTTCTGCTACACCCAACCCATCACTGGTACCAACATGCCACAACGACGCCAAACTCCTCGCGTTGCCTCCTCAGAAGCTCGTCCCTCTTGCGTCTCGTCGCGGCAGCCTCTTCTTCGTCGAGAAAGCCCAGCTTGACGCCCAACTAGGACACAATCACTGGCCTCGGCGGGCCCCCGACCGTCGCGCTCGGCGCCAACGCGTCTGGGACCGCCCCGTACGCAAAAGACAGCAGCTCCGCCGTAAAGCGCGAGATGTCGAACTGGTGGAAGCTGTGGTCGCGCACGCCGTCGCGCCCGAGGACGTGGCGGCGCGTGCGGTAGTACGCCATCGTGGCCCAGACGTAGCTCCGCTCCGCGACGCGCGCCGACTCGACCGTCATCCAGTCGAGATAGTCTGTCAGGTGCGGGACGACGGCGGCGGGCGCGCGCAAGACGCGCACAAGGCCGACGAGCCGGCAGTGCGAGCGTACGCGGACGACACCGAGGCGATCGCAGGCGTAGGTCGGCGGGCAGGTGCTGGTCTGGCGGAGGCGGTAGAGGCTGCCGCTGCCCTCATCGTCCGGGCTGAGGGCGCCAGCGGGGGTGTCGGATGTGTGCCAGTAGAGGTCCCAGTGGAACTCTTCGGAGGACAGGCCGTCGGAGATCATGAGCTCGTAGGTGCTGAAGGGGAAGGCCGGGTCCTCCGGCAGGGCGGTCGCGTAGCTGTGCTTCTTGCGGCCGAGATAGATGGGCAGCGGGACCGAGATCATGATGTAGAGCGACCCGACCTCAAGCTTGTCCATGGTGAGGGGCGGGTGAGTGAAGGGTGAGTACGGCGCCGCCAGGTTTTTCATCGTAGTCGCCATTCTGTCAGCGGTAGCGGATTCGGCAGTGAGGTGTAGTCGCAGTCCTTAGGCAAGAGAGGAAATGCAATGAAGACGGAATGATGTTGACAGTTATCAGGGAAAGAATTGACTTGTCGGTGGTGACGGGGGAGACTTGCATGGCCAAAAGAACTCTGAAAGTGGAGTAGACCAAAGGCATTGAAATCACACAGAGGACGAAAGAATCGAGAACAACATACTGCGTAGCCGTGTTTGTGGCGTTGGGCTGGCAGAACGCGAGTTGGCCTAGGGTTCGCTCCCAATGCAGCTGGTTTCCATCATGGTGTAAGCCGTGTTGTCACTGGTCAGGCTAATATATGTCAAGGTGGAACTTTTGTATCATGATAATCTGTACAAGAAAGTCCTGAGCGTGTCTAAATGATCTAGGGAACATCGTTTCATTTACGCCAGCGGTGTAAGCAAGCATGCTATGGTCAACTTGGCGCTCACCACCCCTCGACATGCCCTCATCAACCGATGACTCTCATATCGCAGCATAACAGATGCTACAAAATACACTATCTTTCCAAGAACTGAACAACCTCATGTCTTATTTGAACTATTATTTTCTCCCAGGGTTACAGGGCCAGGAGGTTCCGAGCCGTACAAGAAATCCCATCTGATATGAGGCTTCAATTTGACAAGATATGGGACTGGCTCCATCTCTGATATCACCTTGTAGTCAGTCTCAAGGTCACTTCAGCACAGAAAACCCCGTCCCGCCATCTACGTTAGCAGCAAGAAGCATCGATCATAAGAGATAGCATATGACAAACCTGCCTCGTTTGCTGGTTCATTCACCCCTTAACGACTTCCGCGAATGTCCCCGAAGCAAGAAAGTACGAAATAGGTTGGAAAACAAAAAGAGCGCTGGCCTTCGCCCTGGAGTAGGATTACAAAGGCAAAAGATTGATTTCGCCCGGACTTGAACCGGAGACCTTCAGTGTGTTAGACTGACGTGATAACCAACTACACCACGAAACCCTGGAAGACTTGTCTTGTTGGGAAGTCCTCCCTGGTTCTCAGTAATCTTTCGACGTCCAACAGCGGGTCTTGCCGTCTGGTTCTTTAGATCGCAACAAGCCCCGTAAGTGGAGAATGAGGAAAAGGCCCTCTCGCCCCCGACATCCCCGCGGTGGCTTTCGAGAAGACCCCGGAACCCAGTCAGTCAGCCATCACACCAGGAATTGCCTTGGATGGGTTCTTCCGTTGCGGTGTTCCAGAACATGTTATGTGGTACTCCCACTTCTGCCTGGGTCTAGCAAATGCATTTCATCTCAGTGTCTTCAATCCATTAGGTCCAGAGTTCTCCGAGCGACAGCGGTACCACACCCGCCCAGAGCTATCTTCCGGCTTAGTGTCACGACCGAGGCAGCTCCCAAGTTCTCCGCTAGTTTTCCGACGGCGGCCCACGTCGACATGGGGCACCGGACCTTGAGCTGGAGACCCCGGATAGTCTAGAAATCAGCGCACCTCGTCTCTCTCTCTCTCTCTCGGGTACCGGGCCGAACGATGAAGACTCTGGTCTAAGCTACCACACGCCATGGCGCTTATCAAAAATAAATGGAAAACGTGCTGATAATACATGTCCAAAACGGTGAAATCCTTGCCCGAGGTGGAGCACACAGCTAGCCCAAAGTGTGATAATACGCATGTAGAGGTAGCTTTCTTCATTTGGCATGTTGCACGACACTTGCCGGTTAAGAAAGAGATTCTAACCTCAATCAACGCTTGATTCTTCTCGTCGATTGCCAACTCAGCCGTGCTTTCCATTGGCTCCAACCAAAGGTCGAGGGAAGAGTCTCGGGTGAGAGACCAGACCAGGGATCGCCAAACGAGGGGCAATTGCGGGGTATAGCATCTCAGTGATGAGTTACATGCGCACCACTTCCAACGCAGCAACAAGAGGGAAAACACCAAAGCTCCATCGTGGGGCTATTCCGGCGCATCGTCAAACAACCCGCCGTACGTCCCACTCCTCCACCAAGAAAAAAAGGGACCACCACACCCCCCCCCCCCCCCCAAACGTCATAAGTGAACCGTCTTCTTCTCATTTCCCAAACATTCTCCTCTCTCACTACCTTTCCTACCGACCGGCATCGCATCTTTCTTCCCTGCTCAACAATCAAGATACCCCCAAGGAGTCGAGCAATTAGACGCACATCGTCCATCATGGCCGGTCCCGTTCCTACCGCGACCTCGCTCGCCGACATCTATACCGAGGACGCGCTCCCCGCTCAGAACAAGCGCTGGTCGTCGCTGCTGTCGCAGTTCCAGTCCGAGTACGGCCACGCCGCCGCCGTCGTCGCCCGCTCCCCGGGCCGCGTCAACATCATCGGCGAGCACATCGACTACTCCCTGTACTCGGTCCTGCCCATGGCCATCACCGCCGACGCTATCCTCGCCTTCTCCGTCGCCGACACACCCGCCGACTCCGAGACCTTTACTCTGCGTGTCGCCAACGCCCAGTCCGACAAGTACCCCTCGCGCACCTTCGAGGTCCCCATCGCCGGCGACGTGCCCATCGACGCCGAGGTCCACGAGTGGTCCAACTACTTCAAGAGCGGCCTGCGCGGCGCCCTCGAGCTGCTGCGCCGCAAGCATGGTGACGGCTTCCGGCCCAAGGGCATGAACATCCTCATGGACGGCACTGTCCCCGTCGGCGGCGGCCTCAGCTCTAGCGCCGCCTTCGTCAGCGCCTCCGCGCTCGCCGTCATGCTCGCCAACGGCGAGCAAAAGGTCGACAAGACCGAGCTGACCGAGCTGGCCATTGTCAGTGAGCGCGCCGTCGGCGTCAACTCTGGCGGGTGAGCCCCCCTTTCTTTCCTCAATGCCCGTAATCATATCAGACAGCTGACAGCCGCCCGCAGCATGGACCAGTCCGCCTCCGTCTTCTCCCAGCGCGGCTCCGCCCTCTTCGTCTCCTTCACCCCGTCCCTGACCGCCCGCCCTGTCTTCTTCCCGACCACCAACCCGGAGCTGTCCTTCCTCATCGCCCAGTCCTTCGTCACCTCCAACAAGCAGGTCACCGGCCCCATCCACTACAACCTTCGCGTTGTCGAGTGCAGCATGGCCGGCGCCTACCTCAACGCCGCCCTCAACCCGCCCGGCACCAACCTCCCCAAGGACGCCTCCCCGCTCGGCATCTCTCTGCACGGCTTCCACGACGCCTACTTCGCCCACGGCAAGCAGCCCCAGGCCGACGGCGCCTCCAGGGAGGAGGCCGCCGAGGCGCAGCTCCGCGAGCTCATCGACGTCACCAAGAACACCCTGACCAAGCCCGAGGGCTACACCCGCGAGGAGATCGCCGGGGTGCTGGGCGTCTCCGCCGCAGAACTCGAGGCCATCTTCATGTCCAAGCTCTCCGTGCGCGCCGAGCGCTTCAAGCTGAGGCAGCGCGCCCTGCACGTCTTCGAGGAGGCCCTGCGCGTGCTGCAGTTCATGAAGGTCCTCGAGCAGGAAGCCCCCGCCGACACCGCCGACACCGCCGACTACAACGCGCGCCTCGGCGGCCTCCTCAACGCGACGCAGGACTCGTGCCGCGACCTGTACGAGTGCAGCGCCCCCGAGATCGACGAGCTGTGCCGCATCGCGCTCGAGAACGGCTCGTACGGCAGCAGGCTCACCGGCGCCGGCTGGGGCGGTTGCACTGTCCACATGGTGCCCGCCAACAAGGTCGCCGCCGTCAAGGAGGCCTGGGAGCGGGAGTACTACTCCAAGCGCGAGCTTACCGAGGAGCAGAAGGAAGGGGCTGTTGTCGTGAGCCGGCCGGGCAGCGGAAGCGCGGTGTATCTGCTCAAGGAAGGCTCTTTGTAGGCGAAACCTTGAGAGGGGGAAGGGTCGAGAGGAGGGTCTACGTTAATGTTCGATGTATCCTATTCATAGTATATAAGCAGAGGCAGGATACCTGGAAGAAAAGCGTTTTTATGTTTTGCATTGGCGTCACCTGGTGCCAGCTTTGTCCAAAGCGGCTCGGTTTACGAACGATTAGCCATCAGGAAACGACTCTTGGGTCAGTTCGTGGAAGATTGCAAGTCGAATCGGTCGCGCTCCCAAGTGCTTTGGTTTATCTGGAGCAACACTGCCGACTCTGCCAGCGCCATGTTACATCAAAGCGCTGTATGTTCCCAGGCTTCGATGCTCATATTTTCTTTCCTATCGTCGTGGTGAAACAGAATGTGTAAGTGGGCGTTCCTTCTCTTCAAGTGTGGGACAAGATCATGCCAAGTCACAATGCCCACGTTCTACCTGCTCGGCATGTATCATTCGTAAACAGTAGAAGCAGACGAAGAGAAAATAGGCTGTTTCTCAGCAGGACACGCATGCTACCAATTCCTAGGAGAAAGAGGACCCCGCCAGTGAATTCAGTTATATCTAGAATACTAAACAAAGAAGGCGTTTGATCCGACAAGCTTTTCTCCCGGCAGTTACCTGGACGCTTAAGGCGCTGTAGACGATACATTTGTTTGAAGGATATCAGAAACGTATGATTAAGGGCACTAGAAACTACCACACCAAAACAAAACGTGAAATGGCGGCTTTCTTTGAGGGAATGGTTTTGGCGTAACTCTTTGTAGCTCACATGAACATGGCATCAGTAGCAGGGGCTATTCTAGCCAGCTAAGGAATGAGATATCTGGCCAAGGCTCGGGGGAAGAGATAAAATACGAGGCGTGCTTGGATTCCAATCCCTCTCTCTTCCCTTTTTTCAACTCCTTTTCTTCTTAACCCAATCTGACCCGTACCACCCCTAACCTCATTTTACCGTTTATACGTCAGGATCGATGGACGAACACTCTTCTCTGGAATCTCGTGTAATCTGTAACGAAATCACCCCAGAATCTGCAGATTAGTATTGGCTACGTCAAAAGAATATTGAATGCCATGTATCCTAACCGATTGATGGGTTATCCCCATCAATGTGCTACAACAGCAATGACTACACCAGCAATGATAAGGTGTACCAATGGCGACATCCAGACCCAAAGATTGGTTGAGAAACGCCTCCAGGTCCCGATATCGTTTCGCGTTGAAAGCCCATATGTACATCAGCATCGCCGACAAGCCATCTGTTGCCGTTACCATTCCGCAGCTATAGTGGCAGAGGCTCGCTGCATATGTAGGCCGCCTCAAGTCTCAAAGTTTGTGGAGAAATCTGGTTCATGCGGGTATGTTGTACGTCTCTTTGGGAAGATCGAAGGAATATCGTGTAACTCTATGGCACCCGACGCCTCCCTCGAGCCCCCAAGATAAGGTTATTCGCTACAGCTTTGTCCGCGGCTAACCACGTGAAACAAGGCCTGGATGATCCCAAGGTGTCAGCTCGGTTCCACTTGCATTCGAGAGCAATGACTGCTTGGATCTATGGACATCGGCTAACGAAGACATTTCAATAAGTAGATGGATTCGCCTGTTCGAGCACGCCACCTTAGGACGGACTGTGACTGATGCGGCAGTGGCGCTCGTGACGGACAATAGTGCAGACCGAGTATTCAGTCGAACCTTCATTTTGAATGGCAAGTTGGCGATGCCGAAGTGGGATCGCTGTACGAACACATAGCCAATAGGAGCAAGGTCCGAGGGCGTCATGAACGCCGAGTAGGTTGGCGGATTTAACGCTATCCGGCGGGACATATCAAACCAACATCCCACCATCAAACAACATTCGTTAGGACTCTTTATGTCGTAATACTCCATTCAACACATAGCATGTGCTGTGGCATTTTGTTCCAACAATATAAGCCTCCTGTCACAAGCGCCCCGATAATCATTAGTCTGGGATGGTCCCATCAAGGGCTGGATGTGCATACAGGCGGCTTGCACTGATGGCTGTGGACTTGATCGGAGATTAAGATCGTAGGCGTGTGGTTGGAGAGTGTCACCTGGTGAGAGGTATGAGCGAAGCAGTAGAGTTCTGAATGCAGTACCGAAACAAAGCCACAAAGCCTGACGACTACTTTTTGAGTCCCTCTACTGGATCAAGGAAGCTCTAACATGAGCAAATCTTTTTGGGGTTTCCAAAGACCATCTGCCACGACTGGTCTACAAAACCAAGTGAAGTCAGCATAATAGTTCGGGCCTGGCCAATGCACAGGTTGCGTGTCTAGTCTAGAGCATGAGCACTAGATTCTTCTAGGCGAAAAGAAAGTGTTGTCTCACCCTCTCAATGATATGACTCGACTCCTGGAGATATGGTCAGCTCGAGCCGATGCTTCAACTTGACTTTCTCATACATACGGAATACTTGGAATGAAGCAAGGAACAAGGCCAACCGAGACGAACGGTCTCCGTCGACTCTTTAAGCCAAAACAAAGTTGACGTCTGACTAATGATTTGCGGGTTAGGTTTCCAGAAAATACAGCTCAATTCAATCACAAACCAACCCTATCCACGTCACGTAGACATGTAGACTCGATGGAGCGCCAAGTCGTTGCGATTAATTTCCAGTTAGAGTTCTAGATAGCTGGCGCCCGCATGCCTTTGCTGGCCAGCCCCGGAAGCCACGTAGGCCGCAAGTACCGATATGGGGAGTAGACGAACCCACCCTTATGATTCATCAAGGTCAAGGTCTTGGGACGGTCGCTTACATCGTCTTGGCAGAAGATGGAGAAGTAAGTCACTGAGTTATGACAAGCCCACATCCTTTCACCAAGAGAACACATGTACGTCAGCAAAAGATGCCGTAATCTTCAGCCAGGCACCAGAAATTGAGCCTAGGAGGGCCGGTTACATATATTGAGTGAGGACACGGCGAAACCCCGTATCAAACCGCTGCTCACAGGGCCAAGCTCAAGTGTCAGTCCACTCGGTCACCAGCGGCCAGCAAGATGCCGAAGCAAAAAGAAAAAGTCGAAAAAGAAAAGCAAAAAAAAAAACAACAACTTGCTGACAACGGGGGAAGGGGACAAAGTGAAGAAAAGAAAAGAAAACCAAGAAGAAGAAACCAAAGACGAAAAAGTGCGGTAAGAACCTCATGGCGAGGACCTCGGGAAGCTTGTGTGATCAGGATGACACTGCTGCCTGCCGCTTGAAACTTGGGTCTCGAAGCCGAGCCAGCCCACGACAAGTCTACCAGAGGGCCACGTCGAACCAGCCGGGGACCGAAGTCGGAAGAGATGACGAACAGGCATACCGAAGACACATTAAACTCCTAGCCATGTGCCTGGAGACTTCGGAGCATGGGAGGTGGAAACTACAGATACGGTGGGCGCACAGGGGACCAGCAACCCAGACCCCTCCCCTTTTCAAAGAATGCTCACCAAAAGTTTGAGCATCGTTTGACTTGGACACCCGGGGCTTAGAGTACGACTCGAAATATGTGTTCCAGGCTGACAGCCTCTCCGACCGTTGGACTTGGCAGATCATGTGGGCGATCCCGAGATCTCGACAATGACGACCCGGTGCTTTGCAGCATCCATGCCGTCTTCGTCTGGCACTTGGCCTCTCAAGATCACTGAGATGGGATGGCGACAGACAAGGCAATGCCAAGGGACTAGTTTAGTCACCAGGAGAAAGTCTGTTCTGTCCCTTGTACAAGAGCGCGAATGTCTGTGCCCATGGACGACAATGAAGGACAAACATCCGGCGGGAGCTGGTACCGACGGTATTGGACCGGAACGACTTGCCGAGCGAGTAAGGTAAGACCCGTTCTTTGACGATGTCGAGCACTAGACGCTGAGCTTGGCTGTTTTAGCGCGTGGAAACAGTCAGAGGCCATATGTCATGTTGTAGGCCGGCAGGCAAGCTTACTGCCTGCCCACACCTACAAGTGGATGGGATGGACATTGGCTGCGCAGGGTGACTAAGGTCGATGCAGCCATATTAAGTCCTAGAGTAACTAGTTTGGCGCGAACGAATCTTGAAATTGCTCGCTGGCAGGTGAGATTGTTGCGGCTGAAGTGCAGGTTGCCTTCAGCCGCTCCGATATTGGCGACACCGGAACGCACACAAATATGTTTGTTGGGGGCCAAGAGACGAGCGCCATCAAGCTGACAGACCCATGCCCCTTCTCCTGGCGAACAGTTCGCGAAACATGGCCCAGCCAGTTTGAGTAAGTGACCCCAGTAGTCGGGTATACCTTAGTTTTCGTTCTCGTCGACATTGACCGCTAGATGAGCTGTCCGTTGAAAGCACCTTCTCGGAACCAGCCACGCAACCAGCAGCGTTTTTCTTTTGTCATTTACATGTGTCGTGGATCGGAATTGTGGATGGTCTCTACACTATCAAGCGGAGAGTTCCACCCAGTCGGCCAATGAGTGGACCCAGCCGGTCCCGCCCTGGTCACAGATGGGGTACGGACTGGTACGGGAAAAAAAGGAATGCGTAATTGTTCGGTGTAAAACACGAGGACGGCACAATGGCATGGCGCCGCGATATCGGCCAACCTCGACGCGGGCAGAAGAAGAAGAAAATAATGAAAGATTGGGCGGTATTGCGTCATTTGATGCATGGGATCGAGAACGGCTGCATTCTTTGGGGGGAGAGTGACCCTTCTGTGCCTTCCAGAACGAGTCTACTTCGTACAGGCCACTGAGGTTGTCGGAAGCGGGAGTGAAGATGTGTTAGCGTTGGCTCGATGCCGCGAAGAAGTGAGTCGTGGGAAAACTGTTAGCGGCGTTCTCGAAGTATGCGAGTCTGAACCCTGGGCGACCGGGCCGGGAGGGAGTCGAATGAGCTGGCGCGTTTCAAAGCAGGACAGCACTGTCGACAGTTGCGGTGCCGCCGCAGCGAGGGAGAGAGAGAAGTCGCCGCAGGTTGATGGGTTGGTATTCTGCTGATGGTGATTGTCATCAATATGAGCCTGAAGGGGGGGCATAGCACCGGCTGCAGGGCGTCGCGGTACCGCCGTACCCCTGCTGCAGCGCCATATTCCTACGAGTTCTGTACTAAGGAGGCAGGCAGGCTTTGGGGGAGGACAGAAAGAGATTAGCCTAGAGCAGACGTGAAACGGGAGCGCTGATATTGCTGTTTGTTCGATGGAGACGTCTGGATTCCCAAGAAATGGAATAGCTCGAAACCTTGGGGCGAGCAAAGGAGCCGGGATGGGTGTTCATGGCAGTGGACAATAAGGTTTGTGGTCGGAAAATTGGGTGTTTCTTGGTGGGAGTTGCTACCGTTTGGTGACTGCAGTATCTCCAGGGGGTATCGTGGAAAGGAGACGGCGGAATGGAGAGGCGAGCGGGTTTGAGTTTTGAAAGCGCATTGTTACGTCGGCGATGTTTGCCTGCGGAGTGATCCTGGTAGGTTAGGTGAAGTGAGGCAACTAGGGTCGTATCGTCGAGTGCTTACCTAACTAAGCCTTTGCGCGTGTAGAGGTGCGTGCCCGTACCTACATGCATGTACGTGTAGTGTTTGCCAGAAATCGAGCGCCTGCGCCGTCATTGTTTGTTTCTTGGCGACGGGATGCCAGCGATGTTTGCCAAATAGGTATTCGTACAGACTCAACTTTGCCCGAAGATGTATCCATATACGCAGTTGAGTAGGTGCCTCCTATGCACCGTCTGTCTGTTTAGTCATAGCCACAGGAAAGGTATGAATACCTACTCTTTGCAGAAAACCGCCGGATCGGCTACGAGTCGGAAGGCTATGTCAGTAGCACAATCTGCGCAAGTGTAGAGTACGCATTTGCCCAACTACTAACGGACTGTATGATTGTATTTGATATTCATCGCTCGGAGAGATTGAAGACTTTGGGCAAGTGTCACCGGCGTATGCGTCCCCCTGTCCGTGCTTTGCAACAGCCAGGTTCCCCCGCGCTTTCCTCAAGATGAGTGAAGCACTGCGGTACGTACCGAAACACCAAGTTTCTACCTACCCAGGTAGGTAACTGGGTATTCGTACCTGCCGAGGTAAGATAGGTAGGTAGGTGGTAGGTAGGTAGGTACGATGTAGGTTTGTACTAGATAACAAAGGCTTCCTTCTCCCGCTTATCAAGCTTCATTTCAATCATTTCCGTGACATGGCGTTGAAGGCAAAACAAGACCTCGATCATTCCATCTTTCGTCACCCACGCTGTCACGCCCACGCCGTCCTCCACTAGGTAGGTAATCGACCCGCTTCTCGTCATCTACTGCCGACACTTCTCATGCGCGTCGTGCTTGAATAGGCAAGTGTGTCGGATAAAAGAAGCAACGGCCACCAACATCACGCAGCCGGCGGAACAAGCAAGAAAAAAAAACATGCCTATGGTAGTTGAGCCGCTTGCGTCCCGCCTGCGCCCTCGACACTACCGACGAGAGACTGTCTTGGAAACCTATCTCAGTCCGACACTACCTAAGGCGCTGATCTTGGACGCCTACCTTGTCCCTTCCTCCTTCACGTGTTTGTTCCTCAGTCAGACAGAAACCCAATGGCGCCCACGCGGGGCTATCCCACTCAAACCAGCCCTGCTCCTCTCAGGGGTCTTGCGACGATGGCCTTGTCCCCCTTGACAGGGCCCCCGACCTTGCATGCCCCGACCATCAATCAACTCTGGAAAAGGCATACCTACCGGAACGGACCTCGCTCATTGATGTCGTTCTTTTCCTCACTCCCAGCCCGAGGAAGCGTCTGTCGGCCATATTCGTACAGATGAACTACATCATAACTCCCTGTCGGCCGAGTGCATCCCGCTACAATTCACGGTTTCCTTGGGGAGCCCTACGGCCTGCCAACCTGCCTCACTTCTCAAACCGGCGCAGCGTTATGATGAAATCCAGTGCCATCAGTCCACTGGCTGGTCCTGTCTGTCCCTTAAGGGGGGGCCGGATGGAACGAACCGACAAACGAGATCCCGAGAAGAAGGTGGCCTGTCGTCAGGGGTCCCTCGTAGCTCTCCTGCATCGAGCGCAATCAGAACCACCACCATCGCCTCTTTGGCTCGCCCACACTTGGTCAACGACGGCCACAGCTTGCCTATGCCGTGCCGTGCTGGACTGTGATGTGCTGGGCACTGGGCAGAGCTTGGCACAGTAAGTAAGGATACTACCCCTGCAAGTGTTCTGCCTCATCCTGGTAGCAGCAGCGGTCCTATTTCTGTTTCCTTTTGCCTTTATCTCTGGGCCATCCTTGGTTGGCTTAGCGGTGGCGTCGTCGTCGTCTTCCTCGTCGCTGTCCACTAAACCGATCTCGTTATCGCAACTCCATGCCACCAATACCTACACTACTTCGAAACCCGTCGGGCTCCTGGTTTGGAACTCCCTCGGATTGGTCCTTTCCACCCTCCAGAGCACTCGGATCCCTGCTGCAACCCCGGCTTCCCTACCTTACCAATACTGCTATGTTCGTTGCAAAGTATATGTACGAACGGGGATCAGGGCCTGAACGATACGCAGCGTAACAAAATGGGCAGTCCACTTTTCTCCAAGCCGAGGCGAGGGACAACGTGGGAGGAAAGCGGAGGGAGGGAAAAAGGAAGGGGAAAGGGAAGCCCCCCCCAAACATCCACCAGCCTGCTCTGGATTCCCTTCTCTCATCCATATTGGCGTAGCCCATCCAATCCAGACCGTCTGAACCCGCGCAAGCTAGGCTGTCAGGGGAGGACAGACTAAACAGCAACCGAGACGGCGAGATTGAAGAGGGCACTAGGTGCGCTGCATTTCCCCTCAGACGAGTGCACACCAGCCTAGCTTTCTTTCTCTCCACGGTTCCTTTCTCTCCTTCTCTTTCCTCTTCGCACTCTCTCGTCCGTCGTTCCTCTAGCCTCCAATCGACAGAGCGATCTTCGGTCAATGAAGAAAGAACAATAAGAGACCAGCGATCCGAGAGATCGACGCTGGCAAAGATCCTTCACGTCAAAACTCAACAACGGCCCTGACATAAACCACCCAACGGCCAGCCGCCTTTGCTTTGACGTTGTCCCTTCTTCAACCCCCCATCCGAGTTCTTGGGTCCAAGAGAGCCACGAGCTACCGAGCCCGTGCCGTCAACAAGACCAGCCCAGCCAGCCTTACGTAGCGTCGGTTCAAAAAGACGCAGGGAAAGACACTATCGTCTTGGAATATATGCATTTACGAACGCCCATCATCAAATTATCATTTTGCCTTTTTCCTGACAAGGCCCAAAATCCATCGTTTTCCGTCTTCACGCCCGCACTAACGAAGATCCCGTGTCGGGTCGCGTTAATTCGGATGCAGGTCCAGAGAGAGACAAGCACCTCGAGCCACAGTCCATCGACCCTGTTGCTCAGAGTGTCAACCCTGCTCTCCCGGCCAAGCCTAAGCCAGCCTGGCCTTGTCAATCAATCGGGGGAGGGGGGCGCATTCCATCACTGCCACCGATACTTAGCTGCAACGATTTCCACCCCAGCCTGTCTCGTTCATCCTTCCATACTACTAACTTCTTATTCCCGCATTGCGCTCAGCGCTAGGTCCCAGGCCCCCGGCCGCCTGGAAATCTTGCTCCCCACCGTCCACACTCACCACCACCCCGTTCCGACTTTGATACACTCCTTTTTCAATCATCTTTTCTGCGATTCATACCATCACATCAAGCACTTCACGATCGACAAGCCAGCCAACTGATCACTGGTCCCCACGCAAACAAAAACACCTCAGTATAGATTTGCGCGCTTTCTATCTAGTCATTGGATAATCCGACCGACGTCGAAGCATAACCGGGGCCATGTCGGCAAATGCTTGGCCCGCAGGCGACGGCGCCTCTCACCGGTCCGGGCAGCTGTCACAGAAAGATATCGTCCTGGACCGACAGATGATCAAGCACCTACTCGGCCGATATGGACCAGACGAATTAAGCCGCCTCATCCAGGAGACTACATGCCCTCGTGAGTACAGCTTTTCCTGACGTTACTGCTTCCTCCGTTGACTTGACACCCCGCAGAGTCGGATGGTGCCTCTATCGTGTCGTCTGCGCAATCATCCATCCTATCGGATGACCCCTCGAGCGTCTGGGATACCCAGAGCGTTAGGACCTTCTCGTCCGACGCATCCTCCATCACAGGCAGCATCATATCCAATGTTTCTCGGGGCACGTCCAAAATCTTGGGTCGACGGAGTCAAAGCAGCAGCGCCACGGCTGCGGCTCAGGCCCAGGCAGCACAACAAGACACCACAAACCCACAGGAGGAAATATGGAACGACGTGCCCACATCATCCAACACGGCGTCCGACACTGCCTCGAGCACGACGAGCGCATCGAAACAGAAGGGCGCTTTCATGTGCGGCTTCTGCAAGGAGGAGGATATCACTAAGACGTGCACGCGGAAAAATGATCTGAAGCGCCATATCGAGGACTTCCACAACGTTAACGCCCAATGGTTCTGCCGGCATCGTGGTTGTCAAATGGTTTTCGACTGGCAAGGCGCATACAAGACGCACTTGAAGCAGGCCCACGGGGGTTCCAGAATGTCTCTGGATGAGGCCAAGGTCAACCTTTGCCCTCAGGTGGTCTTTGCATGCGGCTTTGACAACTGCCTACAAGTATATGAGGCACAAGGCGATTCCGACGCCAGCTCCACCTTCAAGGAGTACGTCAGCCACGTGGTGAAGCACTTCGACGAGGGCTCCAACAACGGCGAATGGTCGTACTCGGCAAGGATACGCAACCTGCTACGACAGAACCAGGTGCAGGCTATTTGGAACGAATCAGTGTGGAACGAAGCGTCGCGGGCCGCTCTTCAATGGAATCCTCAAACCTCGGGAATACTGAGAAAACGACTGGAATGCCGTCATATTGGCGACGTCAAATTGCTGGTGCAGTACGCCCTCATGCTCGGCTCGGACTCTGGTCCCATCAAGTTCCGCGAGGATTTTGTCACACCCGTTATCGACACGTGTACCTTGCACATGCCAGGCCACAAGTCACGGCAGCAGAGTGTCGCCGCCCCGGAGCCGGCTGATCCTTTCTCTTTCAAAATATCGCGCGGCGCGAATCCTGCCCTCGCCGCCTACATGGCATCTCAACGGAGAGTCTACGTGCCAAGACAACAGCGAGTTGTGAGGCCGCCGCAACTGCACCATCCGCACCAGCAAGTTCCGTCGTCGAATCCAATGGCGAGCCACTCCCGGCTGTCCCACTCCTCCCACTCGAGCCATCACAGTCACCAGCAGTCTCATCACAACAGCCAGAACCACAGTTCGCTCGGGCACTTCTTTCAGGCGCCCATGGAGTCATCAATATACGACCCGAACAACAACGCCCAGGCCTTTGGGTCAAGCAGCGGTGCTATGCATCAAAACGGCATAATTGCAGACGACATGCAGAGTTTAAGGAGCATGGCAGCAGGGACGGCCGAATCTCCCGATGTGGAGATGCAGGATCCAGGAATGATGGCGGATTTCTCGTCGCACTATGCGCCGCACGCAGCCAGCCTCGCGAGTCCAGCAATATCAGGCCACACGGACGGATTCTTTCCGCCCGGACAGGCCTATTAATCAGCGATCCCAGGAGCTTTACTCTATCCGCCTCACCAGCAGTGCCGGCAGTAAGATAGTTCAGGTTGGGCATCGACTTGCTCGAGAAGCGATGAGCGGTGCAGTGTGTTTGTTATGGATTACCACTCAAAAGCATGTCAAACTGGAACTTCAGCTTCATCTCGCGCAGGAGATGCCTTGTTCTTATTGTTTCCCCCTTTTTTTTCTTGTCTTTTTTCACTTTTCTTTTCTCTTTTTCTCTTTTTTACCTCGTCGGAGTTTTAAGCAAGATGATATACCCAACAACGATCAACCGCCATATTTCCTTTGTCTGCTATAATTATGGACTTCGTCAATACACGACTGGACGGGAAGTGGGGGATTCTGTATATTATGATCGGTCACTGACCCAATCTCGGTCCCTGGCGGTCGTTTTGACGAGCGAGTAGATTGGCACAGAAAAGATGGCTGGACTCTTGTTAAAGAGAAGGGACGAGGTGTAGTAGGATGTAGGGATGTATTACAGACCAGCAATAGAGTTGGCGAGAGAAGGATGGACAAAATACAACGGGAGCATCCAGGCAGAGAGCCTCATGAGGCTTACCAGACGTGTCGCGTGCTACAATCGACTGACGAGACGGAAGAAACCGAACAATCTTCCCCTTGATACCTAATTATCAAAGTTGATACTTTAAGTGGACACGAGACGACGATGCCCAGTTATGTATCAAGAAGAAAGACAACTTTTCCATACTATGTGTAGCGGGTTATTGGGTTAACCATGCCCGTGTAACCCCTTTTGCTTTGTCATGTCTGGCAGCCGAAGTCTCCCAGAGCCAGACGATTTAGCAAGATGCCGGGGGCGATACTAGGGGGGCAGCAGGTGCAACGGCTCGTCTAGACGGGATTTTGAGTCATGCATGGTAGATAGGCGGCGAAGGAGCGCAAGCAAGCCATCCCTGGCAACGGTTGGGGTTCTTCCTTTCACGATGGCAGTCTCGCCACGTGGCATACCTCCCAGGTCTCGCGGCTGTATGAAGATGGGGGATGGGGGGAGGGGGACAGAGGAGGGGGCTAGATTCAGCTGCTCAACCCTGGCACCGCCCAACGTGCTTGTTCAAGTATCTCTTTCGAGGCTTGCGTTCTGAAAGGGGATAAAGGGGGTGTGTGTGGGGGATGAGGAAGAACAATTACAAGAGGATGTGGGCACGACCAAGGCCGAGGCGAGTTCTTTGTCTCCGATCTCGTTTCACCCGTCGGGGGCCAGGAACCGTTCATCGTTTCTGGGGTTTCTGGGGTCGGGGTGGGAGAAGCCGGGAAAGGGGCTCGTTAGCCTGGGCTTGACAAGGGGGGAACGGCGAAAGATATGGGGGGTTCACGGTCAAGATGGACGGTGTCGTGGTTCGCGCATGACGAGCAGCGGCCTGTCTCTCTCTCTCTCTCTCTCTCTCTCTCTCTCTCTCTCTCACACACACACACACACACACGCACAAGCCATCCATTAGACAGGGATACGAGGCGACACCACATTATAAGAGACCGGGGGTGTTAGCAGAAGAGAAGAAGAGTTTTTTTTTTTTCTTTTTTTCCCTTTTCCCTTTCTTTCTTTGTGGGCAGATTCCAAAGCTGACTCTCGGTTTCTTTTGGTTGCTCCTGGAGCATTATCCCAGGGATGTGACTGGCGTGGAGCTAGATATCTGTAGAGAAGAGACGCGGACTTGAGGTAGATGGGAGCAGGGCAGGTCGCTGTTGGTAACACCGCTAATCCCCCGCCTCTTCGGTCCGCCACTATCACGAATCGTGCTTCAGTGGGGGTGGGGGGCTTGGCGGTCCCAGGTAACTGGGATGAATGGGGGGAGGGCAATAAACAGGGTACGCTCGAGGATCTGAGAGGGGCGACGTTGTGGGGATGAGCGGGACGACTCGCAACCCTGGAGGGACGGGATTCTTGATGCGCTTTTCAGGAAGCAAGGCAGCGAAAGAGAACCGATGTGATACTGAAAGGGGGGGGGGGGAGATGGGTTTCAGGAACAGAGTAGGGCAAAGAGACGAGGCTGTGATCTGATGAGGTGGCTAAAGCGAGGGTTGGCTTGCCCAGAGAAGCTTCAGCGCCCAGGAGAGGCTTTTCTGACTCTGTTTTTGGATGGAGCAGACCGTCTCGTCTTCTCTTTTCTCATGTTCACCTCATCTCACCTTACCTGCTCGCCAACAGCCAAGACATGGGATTGGACGGGCTATGAGACGCCATGTATCTTCCAGTCCTCTTCTTCTCTCTAGTGGGTTTCCTACGGGAAGAGGAGGGAGGCTTAATATTTGGCTGATTGTGTCAAAGCCTCGTCCTCGGTATATGTATTCAAAGACTCACTAACTCAGCCCATTTTCGACGCGCATCATCACATCAGTAGCAATCCGAGGCTGAGGAGATTGCTCCTCAACGGTCCCACGTGAAAGTCTCTCTATCTCTCGCGAGAGACGCCATGACACAATTCCTAAGGGCACGCAACGGCACCGTCGATAAAGAACAATAAGAAACACTGCTCCCAGATGCCCATTCGCGTCCACGCGAGACTCGACAAAGAAAGCCGGGTCTTGGCGCGCTCTCCCCTCGACCAAAAGAACAAAGAAAGCAGGAAAAGACTGCCACGAGACCATGGAACGAGATGATGAAAAGGGGGAAATGATAAGCGGTTGCCACCCGTCGGTTTCCCTCTCATCGTGCGACGGACCCAAGCTGCGGGCCAGGCGAGACCCGTTCTCCTGGTCGAGTTCGCCGGCCCTCGACCCACGGGCAACTATCGAAATCGGGGGCGACGGCGGGTTCCCCGTGACCAGTGTGTGTCTGTCTTCTGCCTGCCTGTCTGTACGGAAACTCATCAGGCTACAGACGCTATCCAAGAAGCCGGCCAACCCCCATCACCGTCGTCACCACCGTCGTCATTCGCGTGTTCCCTTGTGAAGCCACGCAATCCTTTGTTCTAGCGCCCTTCTAGAAGCCGCCTAGCGGTCTTGGCTTCCCCCAACTTGGCATTTCAGCTGGAGGGAACGCCGGCCTGAGAGACATAGCCTCCTCCAGGCTGTCCCCCCCCCCCCTCTTACATTATGCACCTGTCATCCGTACATGACGAGACGAAGGAATGATATCGTGCCTGAATCCCTGGTTCGCCTAGGAGATTCTTCTGACACCCCAGGTGCAAATTTGTGGAGGGGTTGAGTTCCAGTGCATATGGGCAATCTTCCACTTCACCTTGCGCCTACACCGATTGGTTGTTAGCCTTCCGTCTAGCGTGTGTTCTGCCAAGGCCAACTAAGTCGATCCGTGTGCTTCTGGAAGGCTTCGTTGGGGGGAGAGGGCTGACGAGAGATGTTGCCCAGCAGCCATTCGTCCTTTCGGAGATTACCCTCCCATGAAGAATGCCCTTCAGATCCGTGAGCCTGAGCTATTGATTCGACAAGATAGTCGAAACCCGACCGTCAATGACATTTCTAGCCTCCGCCGCGGACCCTCCATCTAGGGATTCGGTGCTCCCCCAGGCACAACGCGTACCATCCTCACCTTCGCCCCGAGGTTGCGGCCCTAGTCCTCAGCCCGGCGCCCGCGCTAATGTGAATGAGGAGGCGTCAGTCACGTCCCGCACGCACACACAAGCCAGACACGCGCGAGTCCAGGAGAGATGTGAGCACTGCGACGGACAGCGTCGAAACTAGTCGCCACTTCCACGGTAGCGTCGCCGTCGTCGTTGCTGTTGCTAATGCCTTTCCGCCCGGTTCACCACTGGCGTCTGTGCCCTACACGACGTTGGCGTCTCTTCTCCCACCGGGGCTGCCTTTGACGTTGTCTCTTGGCCGACACTACAAAATTTCGGATCCGCTGCTCCTCTTCCATGCTTAAGATCCGACGTTTCCCCCTCCTCCGGTTCGTTATTGGATCCCCTAAACGCACCCGTTCTGTTATTTCGTCGCCTTGGCAGTTCGTGTCGCCTCGAGCATTTCCTTTCGCTACATGACGACCGGCCTTTCTCTCACTCTGGTGATACTCGGACACGTCGGTCATCGCTCGCTGCCTGTTCGTCCACTCCTCCTCTTCGACTCTCTCACAGACACCCACAACTTACCCTTCCGAAGCTCGACGGACAGACGCCTATGAGACCATAGATACGTCAGACACACAGTCCCGAAGCGACCGAACGCTTAAACTATGTACCCAACCCCGGAAGAATTGGCCATGTCGCCGGAAGACATGCGGGTCCTCCGCGAGCTCGCCGGACGATACGGGTCCGGGAGCGTGGAGAACACTCTCCGTAATCTTGGCAGCAACAACAACAGCAGCAGCAACAACAACACGGCGCTTCGGCCGCCGCCCCAACACCACCAGCACCAGCACCAGCAGCAACAGCAAAGGCAGCAGCAACACAGAGACACCACAGAGCGGGATTCGACCTTGTCCACGTCGACCTTCGGCAGCAACCAGAGCGCGCCGTCCCTGACGAGCTCCAGCCCTTGGAGCAACTCGGACGCCTCCCTCTGCGGTTCAGACGCCGCCTCCCTGGCCGGCAGCTTCTACGGCGGACAACAACAGCAGCAGCAGTCCCAGGACGCTTGGCAAGGCGGCGGCGACAACGACATCCCCTTCCTCCTCTCGCCGTCGGCGACGCCCTCCCTCTCCGGCACCGAGTGGCAGGACCGCCACATCAGCGAGTACCTCTCCACGCCGTCCCGCGAGAAGGCGGCCGCGGCCGCGGCCGCCGTGCGGTCCCCTCCCCGCCGCAAGCCCATCGAGTGCCCCCTGTGCGCCGTCTACGACGTCCGCGTCGGCTTCGGCCGCAAGAGCGACTTCAAGAAGCACCTCCAGAACTTCCACAACACCGACTGCGTCTGGGCCTGCCCGCAGCGCGGGTGCCGCATGGTCCTCGACTTTGAAAAGGCCTTCGTCACCCACTACAAGATCGACCACGGCGACGTCCACCCGACGCCCGACCGCGCCAGGGTCGAGCTCTGCGCGCAGGTCGTCTTCGCCTGCGGCTTCCTCGGGTGCAAGGAGGTTTTCGAGGCCGCGGACGACGGCGGCGCCTCCGCCGCCGCCGACAGATACTTTGACCACCTCGCCGGCCACTTCGACACGCGCAGCAGCAGCAGCAGCGGCGGCGGCGGCGCCGCCCCGTCGTCCGAGTGGGCCTATTACCACCAGGTCCAGAACCTCCTGCGGCAGCGCGCCCTCAAGCACGAGTGGAAGCACGCCCTCTGGGACAAGACGGCGCGCAACCAGCTGCGGTGGCAGCCGCGGTCGTCGGGCGACCTCAAGAAGCTCCTCGAGTGCCGGCACCTCGCCGACGTGCCCCGCATCCTCCACGCCGCCTGGACCCTGGGCCAGTCCTCCTTCTCGTCTCCCGAGCACCCGCCGCCCGCCGTGTTCCCCGGCGCCGCCACCCGCCCGCTCCGCCAACGGTGCCCGCTCACCGTCGGCGGCCATAACAAGCTGCACCGCGGCTCCTTCGGCCAACACCGGCCCGTCTTCCACACCACCCTCGCCACCGTCCCGCACCCGCCGCCCCGCTCCGTCCCCGACGAGCCCGACTCCCTCGCCTACCCCCACCCCGGCACGCCCCTCGCCCTCCCCGAGCATGACCCCTGGTCCACCGACGTCGTCCTCGGCCCCCGTAAGGACGAACTGTTCGACGACGCTGTCTTCTACGCCGGTTATGGCGGCGGCGCCGCCGCCACCTCCGCGTTGCCGAATCCCATCACCCCTTGCAACGACGTCCAGACACTGGGCGGCTTGGCGCCGCGGCCGCAGCAGCGGGTGGCGGCGGACGACCGCGACGCCTTCGGGGCTCTCCTCCAGATCCCCCAGACCTCCTCAATGCGGCCCGGCTCCTGGACTCACCGCCTCAGGCGCCTGTCCCGGTCCGCGCCGCCAGTCGAGAACAAGGCGCGCGCCCAACCCGCTTGGATCTAGGCTCCCCTCCCTTCTTCTCTTTCTCTCCATCTCTCTTCCCCATTTCCCGCCGTCTATATCCGGGAAACCCACGACGCCGGCCATTTGGGGTTTTCCATTGTCCATATGACATCACACGTTTCTATTATTATTATCATTCTCGCCTGTAGTACTTAATGCTTGCATGACACTGTAGCAGCGCAGCTATCTCGTAGACGCGGTTTCTTGCTCCTCTTTCTGTTTCTTTCTATCTCTTCTTTGTTTCCGCAATACAGCCAATAGACTTACGATACCCGATGGGTGGAACGGGGTGGCCGTGTATAAACGGCACATGCCCGGGGGAGGTGGGAGGGCTTTTCGTTCGAGGTGCCGGGGCTACTGGCTACGGTTGCCGTAAGGGATCCGGGATGATACACACACACACGACGTTTGACGACTTGGGATGGCTAGAAATACCACATAGACACTAGAAATTGGAGTTTTACTCTTTGCCAAAAAGCCGTCGTGTTCACTCTTATGTTCGCTGATGGGAAAAAAAGAAAGAGGAAAAAAAGGGAGGGCGGATCCGTCACGAGGGCGTCTGCCAACGTGCTCCAGGTCTCGTTCCAACGAGCAACGTCCACAGCAGCCGCCATCCGTAGTGGTCGCAGGCTCCGAGGTCCACAGCTGGTCAAGCGAAGACAGAACCCTTCTCCCCCTTTTCGTCTGTGAACGATGAAAAGGGAGGACGAGACAGGGGCCCGGCTTATGACCAAAAGGGCGTAAGACTAACCTGGGCCTCTTGTCTCGGTCATCCCTGACCGCTCCCCCGCGAAAGAAAGACAGAAAGACAGAAAGAGAGATAGAGAGAGAGAGAGAGAGAGAGAGAGAGAGAGAGAGAGAGAGAGAGAGAGAGAGAGAGAGAGAGGAAGCCCAGGAGACAAAAGAGCGAAATGGTTAAATGAAAAGAAACCGTCCCCAACAGAAAAAAATGAGAAAGATGTGATTGAGCCCGACGCGGCTATCTCGTATGTTGAGACGATCCATGACGACCAGCAAGCCCCCTCCTCTCTCGCTTTCGCTCGTCTGCCGCCGACGTACCTTTACGGGTAGAAAATCACACGGCAACCTCTGGACGAAGGGTCTCTCGCCGTATGATTACTGAGCAAGCTAGCCGGGGTAAACCGGCTTCTTGGGAGTCCTTGGGGCGGAGGGGGGGGGGGAGGGGTTATGGCTCCTGTTTCTCCCTCCGGGTCCCTCCGGGGAGCCTCTCTCGTTCGGCCCGAGCCCTGGCTACTTCCCGTCCTCCGTTTCAGATCTTCCGTTTTTCTTTTCCTGTTTGCGCAAGTTAGCAGGCTTTTAGGTAACCTGGATTCGGGACGGGAGCAAAAGTGGGCGGCGGTACGTCTGAGTTGGGTGTGCATCGTTGTGGGGGCCTGTTTCCGGTTCGTCTTATCGTGGTGACGTTTCGTTTACTCGATACCCACTTCCCTTGCGAACAAACGTCGATCAGATGCTGGGATGTAAAGGTGGCGCACCGAAGCATCAGCAAGAAAAACATGGTGCACAAAGAACACAGGTAGTCTATTGGCTAACGCTGGCGCATCGCTTCGCCATTAAGGCTGGCTGGAACGGCTGGCCCCTCTGCGCGTGGCAGGTATCCGGGCAAAAGAAAAGCCCGAGGGGGCTCGATTACTGAGATTCAAAGAAAGTTCCCACATCAACTCTCCCACCGGAACAACGTCCTCCTCCCCCGGAATCAAGATGGTCTCTTGGCCTGGTTCTCCCTTTCTGCGCCAACGTAACCCAAACTCCTGGTGACCCTGTTGATGCGGCCCGTCTGCATGGCGTGAAACATTCCTCGAGAGAGCCTGTCCGACGTGCCGAGGCTATCGGTTGAGGACGCAGACCCCGATCCTTCGCTAGATGGACGGGCCTAATGCCCTCTAGCCAAGAATGCCGCCGTGCCACTGCCGATGATGGGGCTCCCGATCTCGCCTGGAGCGCCTACTGCTCTGTGGTGAGGGTGTGTCATGTCGTTGAATTCGGGCACCCACCGAACCGAGTGCTGGCCGGGGCCATGTGCGTTTCGTCGAACCTCAAAGGTGCCTCCGCCGTTTTGGGCGTTGCCTTCCGTTTCGGCAAGCTCCAGCAGATCTTCTTCCGATATGACCTCCGTTCCACTGAGTTGGTCCACCTCAGCCTTGATCGCTGCCAAGTCGACAAACGAGTCGGAGGTGTCGGCGTTGCGGTTCTGCAGCTCCTTGCAGGCGCGGCACAGCATCAGGCGGACCGTGACCGAACGAGGGTTTCCGGCCGTGCGGATCTGACCGAGCGGCGGCATCGGCGGGATCATTGGACCGCCCCAGGTGGGATTGCCCAGCCCAGGAGGGGGGGCGAAGCCCATCGGTGACGGTCCCCACACATTGTTGTGCATGTTGTGGAATCCGTTGTCCATGCCTCCGACGAACGGGATGGTCGGAAACGCCGGTCGCGGAACCTGGCTGCGATGCCTAGCCGCGTTCATGGCCGCATTGACCGGGTCCTCGGCATCATCCAGCAGAGCGCTGCTACCGAGATGCTGGTTGGCGAAGTCGTCTAGCTGATCGTTGCGCTGTCCATGCACCACGCTGCCGGGCCGTCCGATGGGCGCTGGCCTTCCAATGGGTTGTGCCGGAGCCGGCGATGAAGCCGGATCGAAGCTCCCAGAGGCCTGCCTTGAGTGCGTCGCGGGCCCCGGCGCCATGTTATGCATCGGGTCGCCGCCCATGGGCTGTCCGAATCCGGGAGGCGGGTGCGGCATGAAGCCGCGTCCCGCGGGCCCATTAAGCCCCGGCGGGCCGGGCATCATTCCAGGTGGCGGCGGCGGTCGGCCGAAGCCAGGAATACCGGACGGGCCGAAGATGGGATCATGAATGCGGTTCGCTAGCCCTGGAGGTGGCGGCCCTCCGAAGCCGGGAGGGGGCATGCTCATAGGCATGCCGAACGGACCCGGCTGCATAGGGCCCTTGATGCTCGACGGCGATACGGAGTGAGGGTGCGGCAGCGAGCTCGTGGTCGCCACGCTGGTCTTCCGGGATCCAATCGGTGCCGGGCTCGTGTGGCCGGGTGTGGCGGGGTGTGGTGATGGGTTCTGGCTGGCAGTGGAGCCGGACTGCGAAGCTTGAGATCCCGGCAGGCTGGTTTCCAGGGGCTGGGACGCATGTTTGGGGCGGATCGGTGTTGGAGCCTTGGGCAGAGCCGGCGTCGCAACGGGTATCTTTGGAGATGCGTATGATGCTGGGTTGGAAGTGTGCGTCGGGATCGGCACCGGGTGTTGCGACAGACGTCGACCTGAGTTGGGGATGGGGATGGGGGCAGCGGTGATGGTGGCGGCCTTTTGCGCCGCCTTCTCTTCCTGCTTGAGCCGCTCGCTGCTCTCCTTGTCGGCCTTGGCTTCCCGGTCGGCCTTGGCCTTGGCCTCCTTGTCGCGCTTGGCCTGGTCTTGCTTCTCTTTCCGCTCCCGAATCTCTTTTTCCTTCTGCTCTCGGTTCTCCTTCTCTCGTAATCGAGCCTCCTCCTTTAGCTTCTGCGCCTTTTCTCGGGCTTCTCGCGCCTTACGCTCCTGCTCCGCGCGCTTCTCTTGTTGTTCCTGGAGACGCTTTTGCCGCTCCGCCTCTTTCCGGAGGCGTTCCTCCTCCTCGAGACGCTTCTGCTCCTCCTTCTTACGGCGCTTCTCCTCGGCTCGCAGTCGCTGCTCTTCGGCCTTTCTTCGCTGTTCCTCGAGTCGGGCGGCTTCTTCGGCCGCCTTTTCAGCCTCCTTGCGCGCCTTCTCCTCGGCCTGCTGCTGTTTCTTCAGCGCGGCCTTGTCCTTTCGCTTCTGGTTCTCCTTGGCCTTTTTTGCTTTCCGCTGGGCGTCTTGTCGGTTCTCCTCCTCGAGCTCCTCGATGAGCTGTTGTTGGCGTTGCTTGGCGACCATATCCCGGTAGGCCGTCAGGACGCGCTGCTCGAACATGCGAGCGGCGAATATCTGGAACATGCGACGACCCTCTTCCATGCGCTGCTCCTCGGTCATCGTGTCCTGATGATGACAACAGTAATGCTCAGTACTCGAGTGTTTATGGTCATATGTGTATTGAGAGGAGCTCACTTCTTCATCCTCGTATTCCTCTTCTTGACTGTCATCATAGTCCTCATCCTCCTCCTCGTCCTCGTCGTCGTAGTCGTCTTCGGGAGGAGGATGGTTATGATTCGAGTAAGAGCCGTTGGCGGGATGACCGTAGGCGCGGGAAAAGTGTTCCTTGGCGTCCTCCTCGCGCGCCATGCGGCGCTCGGCGAGCTGCTCCATCATTTCGATGAAGCGCTTGCCGTCGTTCTTGAGGAGGTCATCCGCAACGGTGAGTATGCCGCCTAAGTCCATGTTACCATATCTGCAGAGTAGAGAGTCCAGAAGCTGCATACCCTTGACTTGCAGGCTGTTACCAAACGTCAAGAAGTCGGCCACATCTCGATCGTGAGGGTGAGCATCCTCTGGCGGTTCGTCTTCTTCGCTATACTCGTCGTCGTCTTCCTCTTCCTCCTCGTCCTCGAGCTCGTCCTCTTCGTCGCTGTACTCTTCTTCGGGGTCCTCGTCCTCGTCATCGTCGCCGACGTGCTCCACTATGCGACCACGCGACGGCGGTTGCCCCGAGTATGTTGCCGGGAGGCGCGAGGGTCGCAGGGGGAATTCGCGGTGAGGCGGGAGGATATGGGGACCCTCCCCATTATTGGCAAACGTCTCGAGCTCCTCGTAGTAGGCATCGTAGAGGCCTTCCAGCTCCTCCTCGATGGCGGTGCGCTTCCGGCCGCAGACGGTGCAGCTGCACGTGTGCTTCTGCTGCTCCTTCATCTTCTTCAGGACGGCGTCCTTTTCAACCTTGACCAGCGACTTGCGCTCGTCCTCGCCCAGGCCAAGCCAGAATTCCTTGATGCGCTCCCTCTCCTCCTGCGAGCTGGTGTTCCAGATCTTATCCTTGGAAATTCCAGGCCCACGGGGCGTCAATGGCGAGTGGGAGTGCGACGGGACGTTGTCAAAGTGGGGTTCGGCAAGGTGCTGGTTCTTTGCGTTCTTCTTCTTCTTCTTCTTTGACTTTTTGGACGATTTGCCCGAGGCGACACCGTTTACGCGTGAGTGGCCGTCAGGGTCGTGGTGTTCGTCGGCGTCGTCGTCGCTGGAATCCTGGTCGTCGTCATCCTGGGCAGGCTGAGGTTTGGAGGCGGGTGTGCCAGGTGCTCCAGATGCGGGACTTGAGCGGCCATTGGGGTTTTGGGCGACGGCCTGCTCGGCAGCAGCCTTGGCGGCAGCCTTTGCGCGACGCTTCTGCTTCTTGCGATTGACGGTAGGGACGGAGGAGTCGGCACCGTTGGTGGCTGCGGTCTGGACACTCGGAGGCCTTGCCGACAAGGTCGGGGTGGAAGGCTGCGAGGGTTCGGTGGAGGGGGGGCCCTTGGGCACAGTAATGATCTTGGAGCCATCTTTGTTCGTGTAGCGAGCCGTGGGCTTGGTATTGGGAGACGCAGGCGTCTGCGATGCCGGCTGGCGGTGGTTGGCCGGCATGTCGAATCTATGCTACCAAGCAACAAACGTGGATGTCATAGAGAGGGAGAGAGAGAGAGAGAGAGAGAGGGAGAGAGAGAGAGAGAGAGAGAGAGAGAGAGAGAGAGAGAGAGAGAGAGAGAGAGAGAGAGAGAGAGAGAGAGAGAGATAGACGAGAGAGAGGAAGGGAGAGGGAGGGAGGGACGGGTCTGGTCGGAGGGGAGGGGTTGTTGTTGAGAGGGAGATTAAGAGTCGTCGAGGTCGGGGTGGGCTCGGCGGGCGGGCTCGCGATCGGTCGGGCCTGGGGCGATTGAATGAGATGCAAAGTAAAGCTATGTCAAGATGGGTGAGTAAAATCGAGACGAGACGTTTGGCCCCTCTTGGTGAGAAGTTGGTTGGGTTGGGCGGCAGGGCGTTTGTGGGTAAAGGTAGCGGCTCGCGAAAATGGCAGGCGGAATCGGGGTACAGCGCGCAGGGCAGGCTACAAAGGTAGGTAGGTAGTGGTGGTGGTGGTGGTGGTGGTGGTGGTGGTGGTGGTGGTGGTGGTGGTGATGAGGCAGGACTCACTCACTGGTGGAGGCGAATATTATTCGAGATGGGGCTGGGTTCAGCCACACACTGATCTGCCAAGGGACGACAGCAGGGTACTGTTATAGTGTAGTAGCGTACCCAAGTACCTGTAACTCCCTGTAGGTAAGGAGGGAGGGAAATCCAGCACAGCACAGTCCAGCACGGCATGGCACACATAGCATGGTACAGAACAAATGAGGACAGGGCATCACTGGCAATGAGCAGTATTGTACGTATAGTATACTCCAGTGAATATGGATTGGCAGGCAGACGTCTTGATGTCGTGGGTGGGAACAATCGACAAGGCAAGCTCGCAAGGCTAGTGGTATTGGCAACGACGACGATGATGCGGATGACTGATATCGAAGACGGTTGGTTGGGGGTTTGTCTGGCCCTTTTGGCTGGTCCAAATTCTTTCCAGCGAGGGACCAAGGGAAACAAACAAACTCAAGTCGTCAGTCATCCATCCCAGCGTCCAATATTGACTCGTTGTTGAAGATCGGGTGGACGATGGAGATGATGATTAGGTACATGGAGGTAATACCTAGTAATACCCAGGTAAGGTAGGTAGGTGAAGTACCTAGGTGGATGGGCGTCGGATCGAGAATGGAAAAAAAGTCACTCACTGGCGCAGTTGTGTGAGAGGGGTACATGACCATGAGAGAAAGGACAGGCATCAGTCAGCAGGTTGGTGTAGGTACCGCACTCGCCAAATACTCTCTCTACATGGGTACGCCTCCGTATCTCGACACCTGCCTAGCTAGGTACCTACCTACCTTGGCACCCGGTGGACAAAAAAGATGGCACACCTAAAGTACTTTCCCACACCACATCTACCCCAAGACTATTAACAGGTGTTTTTTTGTTATACTAACACAGCCACAAGACGCAGTTAGGATATAGGAAAAATATATTTAATAGTAGGTAGAACATACTGGCATTAATTCTGACTATTTTAGATAGGTATATCTATGTATTTAGTGTTGTGCTGTTTATAATAGTGTAGGGAGTGTTTAGGTGTGCCATCTTTTTTGTCCACCGGGTGCTTGGCACAACCCCGTCAACCCAGATTTCGAGGCTGAAGTGTGCCATTGTGCTGTGGTCCACGTGACTGTTTGCCCGCTGGCATCAAACCCATCCGGCTGGCAAGCTAGCTCTTCCTGGCCAGCACTGGTACCAAGTACTTGTGTGGGCTGAGGGCTGGAGGAGTGGAGCCTTTCAGCCATTCGCCAAATGTTAGGCTCCATGACTGTCCCTCCGCAAAGCTGACGTAATCATTCGCGATCTCATCCGAGCTGAAATGCGATTTTGAGACCGCGGACAGATATTCCATCCCTATCGCTATCCCCATGTCCATATTACCTAATCCGACTTTGCATTACGCATTGCGTACTTGTACTTCGTACACTGCTCCCAACATGCTACCTGGAGACACTACCTAGGACATTGGGACCGGGGGTTTATGACTTGATGTCATCCCATCGCCTACCATGTATGTCCGTACGTCGTCTCACTTCACCTAATTACCCTCCCGTTGCTAGAAAGAGAAACACACCATCAACCACTTTCGCTCGACTGACCGACCAGGACAAACGACTAACGCAAATGTCAGGCTGATCCCTTCCGAATCGCTGCAGCCTACCTAACTATCTACACTACCTAGGTAGGCACACTTTCTCCCACGTGGAGAGCTGGACAATTACATTTTTCCAGCCTTGCTGCGTCGGAGTCTTCTGCAATTCCAACTCAGTCGTCGCAAATCCCCGTGCCACAAGCTGATAATGCATCTCCCCCCGTGATACATTGGCTTACACGAAGCTCTCGTACCTTCCAATCATCCGACACTCGCCAGCACTGTCAAACCCGATGCTCTCCTCGAAGACCATGCACCACCACTGGCAGTGGCTGATTGTGAGCGTCGCCAGCCAATCCTTGGCACCCCAAACATATGTTCATCCGTCGTTCCCGAGGCCAACTACTAGCGGCGTCACAATGGCGGGACTGGGCCGAGATCAGGGAAACATTCCACCTGTCCCGAGGCGTTGCGCGGGCTGTGGCCAACTACATGTGCAAACAGACAATGCTCACGCCAACGCTGCATGCCGCCAGGCCCCGCTCCGAGTGATGAAGCGAAAGCAAAAGAAAGAAGAGGATCATTCTGCTCACCTGATTGCAACTCCATGATGAGCAATTATATCCAGGGGCGAGCCTCATTTCCCTGGGATACTTCCAAGACTCGTGTCTGTACGAATATGGCCCAAGGACGAAGAATTTGTCAGGAACACGCCGGATATACATACGCCGTCGATCCATACGCTGCCGATCCATACGTCGCCGATCCTGGCAAGAAACGCTTATTTGTGCACCAAAGACGCGTCTCTGCTCAAAGAGCCGACTGCACACAATGACAGCCGCTCCGAGCTGAGCCTGCTCCTACCCCTGGAGAGCCTCCACCAAGCAGGGGTGGCTCATGGTAGGTTTACATGCCCGTACGCCGGATAGTTGCAGATGGGGCACTGCAGTGTTGCGCGATACCATATCCGTACATTACCACAACAGCACAGCAGCACATCCAAGACGATGCAAACGTTGAACGGACGAGGGGGGCAGAGCACTTGTGATGGTGTGGGTGACTGCGCAGAGAGACGGAGATACGGCGCACGGAGGTGTGGTCGGGTTTTGCCTATCCGATGCCCCCTCCCTCTGGGCTGGCGTGCGCCGCCCTGTGGCCGCACTTCGGCTGCCGGATGGCGCCACCCTTATTGTTCCAGCGCTGCGTATGACGACGATTGAGGGGAGGGGGGACAAGACAGTCAGGAAAGAGACCCGGTCGAGGCAGGGCAATCGGTGCCGTAACGGCGTCTGAAGATATGTCTTCTCAAACCTACAGGAACAGGTACGCAGCACATGATGTAAGCTATTAACCGACGACCGCAGTCGGTCAACTACCTACCTAGTCCTGTCTTGACCGAAAGCGCGGAGGTACGGGTAAAAACGTCAGGCGTGCCTGCGGGACGAGGACGGGGTCCATCCCTTCACGGATTGCCAAGGGGGCCAGCTGGTGGGGGTAATGATGTTAAAGGAGACACGCCAGAAGAGACAAGAGGCAGTGAATCGACATGTGCCGAAACGTGGATAAGCAGACAATACAGGGAAACCCAGAGCTGGAATCCTTTCGACGCAACCCGCTGGTTCGGCCATCGGCTCCCGAAAACCTTGTTGACAATTTGCATTTCGTTCCGCGAGCGAGCCGCGAGGGAGAGCGTGGGATGGCATGGCAGAGAACGCAGCCACATCCTAATTTAGAAAAGGAAAAAAACCCGAGGGCGACCTCGATGCTGAATGGAAGTCGGGTAGGTAGGTGAGTGAGTGTATCTATGCGGGCGGCGACAAGGTTCCGTCCTGGTTGTTGGAATCGGTCGCCGGTTCTCGAGTTCTACTCCAACTTGATTGGCAAGGGGACAACGCATCGAAGGACGATCATGGCAGAATCCGGTCGCGCTGTTTCTTGGAAGAGGTTGTTTTCCGGCCTCCGGTACCTGACAGCACGGCGATCCCATCTCTGGACAATCCTAGACCAGCAGAGGGCGACAATTAGGGACGGTGGATAGGGGAGGGGGCAGCAACCCCGACTTGGACTCGAAGGCTTTTTACCTTGCATGCCACCCGTCAACTCAGCCTCCCCGGAACCCCATCTCATCCCATGGGCGGGCCAAGGTCAAATTTGGTCCCAACGCACGACGCGCGCCATGTGCACGAAGTACGGGTGCTGACGTAGGGGCGAAGGACAGTGTTGTTTTGTCTGTCATGGCTCCATAGGGGTCGTGGGATTCCAGGCTGGGTTCGTGCGTGCCTTTCTTGGCCGCGTTGGCGGTACCCTAAATGGTTCCCCCACCGCTGCAGCCGGTGCAACTGGTGCGGCTGGCTGGTAGGGGTTCGAGGGTTGCAGGCTCTCCGTCCCTCTCACCTGCTCTCCCTCTCTTCTCGACCAGCTCAGATGTCAGCCCCCGCACCGGCCGGCCGCGTCGAGAAGCCGAATCGGACCATTTGACTGCTGTATTGGTGATGGTGGTGGTGGTGGTGGTGGTGATGATGATGGGACTTTAGGGACTTTTGCCAGACGGGCTTGTCGCATCGAGCGTACGGTGCTGGGCCGGGCGGTCCTCGGGGCCCAGAAAGGGTGCATCCGAATGCGTCTGACGTCCTCGTCCCTTGTTTTTTTTTTCTTCTTCTTCTTTGTTTTTACCTTTCTTTTCTTGCTGGGGTGACCCTGAAAGTGTCGTTCTTCGAGGCACGGTATCTTTTTGCTGTGCCACCACACGCACCGCCCGGCGCACCCGCGCGGGTGGGCTTTTCCGGAGTCTCGGCCTGTGGTGGAGCGGCGGAATGAGGGGAGGATGCATGAAGGTGAGGCGTGGTGTACCATAATACCGGCGGCACTGTCCGATTTCCGCCGTCTCTGGGCTTCTTTAGCTCCCCTGGAATTTCAAGCTGGGTTTGACAATTCGTGGACAGCCTGCATCCGAGTTTCTGTAGCTTCTTGTACATCGTACGCCTGTAGGTAGGTAACAAGCAAAAATGTAAGCTAAGCAAACATTGATGGACAGGTACGATGGTTGTCATAGGTCTACTACATACGTACGTACATACACTGCCACTTACTTACTGTATACTGTGGGCACGGATCTGTGTAGATCGTCTCAGCACGCGCTCACCGCTCGACGACAAGGTTTGGTAAAGAGAGATATCTCTTCCACCGACTGATCCAGACGTTGTTTGGCCTTGGACTTGCGATTCTCAACACCGCCACACGATGTTGCCCGGTGATCAGATCAAACGATATCTTGGTCGCATCGGCATCGTGTTGCCGGCCAACAGTCAGCCCCAGGTTCTGACCAGAGTTAGTTGTCGAAAGAGAGTACAGAAGGCGAGGCCAATACACCGTTCTTGCACGCATAACAGTGTATCCCGCTCGCATTATGCGTGGTGGTGGATGAAGTGATGATGGTGAAGGTTGTGGTGGTACGGATAGTGGTGGTGGGATACGGATACCGTCCCACCCACCTGGACTCCGCCGACCCGGCGCGCCAGGTACATCGTAGTATGCCTCTCCCCCCCTGGACCTTGTCCTGGAGTCCTGGAGTCTTGGAGTCTTGGACTTTTCGTCCTCGTTGCTGTGCTACCTACCTAGGTACTCCGTAGTCTACGGATAGATAGTCCAGCTCGAGTGTACAGAGTTTAGTGGGCAGTGTAGCTGCTCGCAGCAGCAGCAACAGCAGCAGCTTCTTTAGTGTGCGGATAATGTCGTTTTTTTGTTGTATTTTTATAAAATTGTACCCCGACTTTCTCTTCCCCGTCCGTTTCCACTGTATTCAATTGGATTACTTAGTCTTGCTCTAATATTCTCTTACCCTCTTCTTACTCGTTCTTCTGCCTCTCCCGAATTCCATGTTCCGCTTCTTTAAACCCCGTTAACCCCCCGGCGTGTTCCCTTCATCTCGTATTCCCACCTACTGGGTGCAACGCTTTCACACGTTAGCTGCCTTACCTTACCTTACACTGCCTTCACTTGGCGCCCGTCCCTCTCTCTCACACACCTCCTGTCACCCTGCCGTTCCTCCTCCACCCGAAAAAAACACAAGCGCACCCTCCTCCTCATACCTACCTACTAGCAACCTTTACCAATACTATTTACTCATCGCCTTGCTTTTCCCCCTTCTTCCCTTTCCCTCTGCTTCGGCCTGATCTCTGTCCATCTTCTCGCATATTTGCAATCTCATCATTCCACTCCTCGCCTCTTCTCCCTCCGACATATCCGCCATTGTCTTACTTGCAGCCTTCCATTTTGGTCTAATTCCACCCGCCTACGCAGAAATTATCCCATACACCCACCATCCTCAACCACGGCAGCCTTGCTTAGAGCCAGCAACCGTCACCTACCCGCTCGACGACACTGCTCTCGCAGCAACCCCTCCCCCCTTCGAAACGAGTCTACGGCGGTACTCCATACGAGCCCACCGACTTCGACCTTGACTACCTTCGTCGATTGCCTCCCGCGCGGGCCCGACGCCGCTCCCCTATTGTCTGTACTCGATCAGCTTCGTTAGCTTTGTCCGCCCTGCGGCTCGACACCGAGACCCGCCGCAGACGGTTCGATCAGCCTTCCAATTGACTTCGGGTCGATATCCACCTCCACACTCCCCTCCCTTGGTCCGGTAGACCATCGCAGCTATGGCAGCAGCAAATAACTCCCAGAACGTCATTCGCAGGTACGACCGCACTGTCCACTTCGCGCCGCGCTCTTTACCCCAACTCATGAAGACGGCAACCCTATGGCAGGCCATTGCGCCATGCACACAAGATGGATTCTGCTATTGAGCCGGCCAGTCTCAATACGCCGACCGTCTTTGCGTTTTTCCCCATTGCTGACCAACCGCCCATAGGAAACTCGTCATTATCGGTGACGGTGCTTGCGGAAAGACTAGTCTGCTGAGTGTCTTCACCCTAGGCTATTTTCCTACAGTAAGTCCGCTTTGACGCGCGTTGAGGCCTGATTTCAACGGCCGGCCCAACCTTTGCTAACCATCATTCTCCCTAGCATTACGTTAGTCCCATAACCAGCAACCCCCATCTCCTCTCCCATCCGACCGATCCCTAACCGACCCTGAGCTATAGATCCCAACCGTTTTCGAAAACTATGTCACCGACTGCAGAGTAGATGGCAAGTCGGTCCAGCTGGCGCTATGGGATACCGCCGGACAAGAGGACTACGAACGGCTACGTCCCCTGGCATATTCCAAAGCTCATGTCATCCTCATCGGCTTCTCCATCGACACCCCTGATTCTCTCGATAACGTCAAGCACAAGGTTCGTTCCGGTTTGGCTTGCACGCCCCCGGCGCTTTTGGCTCCAGAGCTGACCATCGGTTACAGTGGGTTGAAGAGGTTACGCGTCTCTGCCCCGGCGTCCCTATCATTCTCGTCGGGTTGAAGAAAGACCTCCGCGAAGATCCTGTCGCAATTGAGGAGATGCGCAAGAAGTCGTTGCGATTCGTCAACCACCAAGAGGGCGATGCCGTCGCCAAGGAGATTGGCGCCCGCAAATACCTCGAGTGCTCCAGTCTCAGCGGCGAGGGAGTCGACGATGTCTTTGAAGCTGCCACGCGCGCCGCGTTGCTGACCTTTGAAAAGGGCGAAGGAGGCGGCTGCTGTGTCATTCTGTGAGCGAACGCAGCCTCGCCGCCCACTTTACTCCCTTCCGATCAACCACCAGTGCGGGCACGAAATAGCGACCAGACACGGGATTCGTCGAGTTCTGCAGGGGAGCATGTGTTGCAATTCGAAACACACAATTGCTGTCCGCCGATCAAGGTTGACCGGTCATAGGACGGCCGGCTAGCACATGTAGGCACCACACCCACGCCCTACAACGACAAATGCCAGGATCACATCGTAATGGAAAGCACTCCCGGACGACTCGCTTGGACATAGCCATCTGACACTTACAGCGCCCATCATGCGGATTGATTATCAACGCCCCTTCTCCCTCCTTTATTCTGGTTTGATTCTTTTTCTTTCCTTTCTTTAGCGGCGCCATAATGAGCGGGAAATAGCGCGAAAACTCAGCGGAGACGTCTTTGAGATATAGTATGTATTAGTAGGATAGCGTAACATAGAACGACCCAAAAGTGCAAGCCAGGTGAAGGCTGGTCTGGGATGTTGGGGAGGAATCGCATTTCTCCTACCCTGCACGGGAGAGGTGACAGTCACTTTACGCAACAAATATTGAAGGAGAAAAAACGATTCATAAACTTGCTTCGAAACATGACATTATTTGACTCCTGTTTTCCGCATTGTACAAAGGCCACTTCTACAGCATGGTACAGTAGAATGACACGAGGGTGGTGATGGTGGTACATGGGAGAAGACAGACGCGCAAGTCTCTCTCGTCCGGTCTATCTCTTATCCACGGCTTTTGCATGCCGTCTTTCTTTTCTCTCTTCGAACAAATCCCCACCCCTTCCCCTTTTACATATTTCCTCTCTCATAAAAAAGCCTCCCCCAGGGGACCCACCCGAGGCCCTCCCCGTTCACCGCTTCCAATCGTGATCCCAGGCCTTGCGGGCCGGGGTCTCGGCCTGGTGACGGGCGTACTCGATGGGGACGGCGCCGGGGCCGTAGACGCCCTTCTTCTCCTGCGCGACGCGGTAGAGCCAGCCCTCGTCGCGGGTGCCGGGGCCGGCGGTGCGGCGGAGCTCCTCGTTGGCGTGGTACATGCTGCTGTGGCGCTAGACTCGCACAAACCCGATACGTGGTTTCATCGTGGAATCGTCGAGTGTGGAAGGGCCGGCCTTACCACCCTATCCCATAGGATAGCCTTTAAGAATCCAGGATCCATGTTACATCGCGGACGCTGCGAGTGCTCGACCGCCTGCGATTGCAAACTGGGGCCCGAGAAAGTCTGTAATTAGCAGCCCTTTGAATGACTCCCAGAGGAGCTGTAGCCTTCTGTTTGGTTCACGATGGCGCTCTGGGATCTAACTAACGACTAGCCCTTTCAGGAAAGAATTAACAACCGCGCGAGTGCG